AAAAAGAAGCAACATTTTTGGGGTAAACTTATACAAAGTTTGCATGCAAACGGAATGGCAGAAAAAAATGGAAGGAAACCGAAAAAAATATATGATATGAAGAGCCCCAATATTAATATAATTTTCAGTCAGCTTAACTGGTTGCTCCCCATTCCCGGAACCCCAGGGACCCTCAGCGTTAAGAGAGAGAGCAGACATATGTACATCCGTAGGGAAGGCGGTGCACCTTCCTATGTCGCTGTCGTTTTTCTACCACTAAGTGCATTAAATTCATTCTTTTCGTGGCACATGCCAAGGCGCTGTAGCCCCCAAAAACAGGGGATTCACAAATAAAGTATGGTCGAAGTCAGGCATTCCCTAAATTGATTCTACAAAGTACATTTGTGGCGATTCTTTGGTATCTGTGCATACAAAAGTTCCTTCCATTCTCCAAGTTTTCCAGGAGGATTCTTCTGAACTCCAGAGTCTGTGGGTAACTGGGGAAGTGCTTTTTGCTCTAGAATCCTACTAGCGGAGAGTCAGAGTGCTCCTATCATAGAGTATCCTTACCTATGAAACGAAAGGTAATGAAATCCGCACGTAATTGCATTGCCCGTAGACACAAAAGACGATGACAATTGTGGACCCCCCCTTAGGTCACACTCTAGCCACATTCCCACCACTTGCCCCTTTGTGCCATAACTTGTAAATAATTTATAACATTTTTGCCAACTTTTCTTCGGCTTCGGCTTTGTTCTTCGTATTTTCTGTTTCTGTTTAGATTTCATTCATTAATAGGACTTTTATGACTTGCAGAGCCTGCCCTCCCCTGCCCGCCTCTCTCTATCTCTCTCTCTCGCTCTTTGCGACTGGGTTTTGTTGCATTTTTATGTTAATCGCTGTTTGTGCTCAGTTCTGTTGTGTTTCTGTTGTTCTGTTTGTAGCACTCCTCTACCTTCTCTCTGTTTAAGCTTTCACATTTGTTTGTTTCCTTGTGGTTCTTCATTTTAGCTCAAAATTGCATTTTCCCTTCTGTTTTGGGGCTAATTATTACCTTTTTCCTGCCCCACTCCGCTCCGTTCCGTTCCGCCCCGACATGCATATTTGCTGTTATGTGTCTTTTAATTGCTGTTCTTTGCCGAGCGGCAGTGGCGGAATATGCAAAACCAGATGAGAAATGTTTCCTTGTAATGGCATTGACGATGGCCCATTGCCTGTGGTGGTGGAGTGCAATAGAAGCGGGAGGGAGAGGGAGTGAGACACAGAAATGAGTGACTTTTGCCTTTGCCAAAATGTGATTTTTATCAACCGCAACGTTTTGTCTGTGCTGTGCTATTTGTGTGTGTGTGTGTGAGAGAGAGGAAGAGAACGGACGGGCGCGTGTGTTTACTTACGTTATAAATCATCCGCACATCTGTCATTTATGGAGAGCAAAGCAAAAAGTAAGAGCGGGAGAGTGAGAGAGCAGAAGGAAGCTTTTATCTAGTCTGCAGAGGCGTGTGTTCGTAGAGGGGTGTCGTCTCAATGAACTTATTCCCGTTGATGTGCCAAGTAGAAGCTTTTCCTTCTAGCAGATCTCTTAAGCATTTCACAGAAAATGCAGTTTATTCTTCATTTTCATCATTCCCCCTGCTGCCGCCCCTGTCTTGTTGCACCGTTTTCTTTTACACTTAAACACATATTTGTATTTATTATCTAAAAAACTTTTACTTCTCGGTATTGCTTTTTATATTTGGTTTAACCATGACGTCTTTTGTGGCCTTCTTTCTTACACACTCCCACTCTCTCCGGCTATCTGTTCTTTGTTTTTGCATTCGTATTCCATGTGTCGGCGACGTCATCGTACATTATCTTTCGAAAACCCGCCGGCCAGATATTTATATTCGAGTTTCTTTCGGGCCATCCATCCCTCTCATGCGAGATAAAGAATTGCGTAGAGAACTCTTCTATATATTGTAGTTTTGGTTCTGGTTTTAGTTGTTGTTTTGGTGTCGTTTCGCAGACACTTTTAATGGCTTTTAATTGTGGCAAGAGCAAGAAATATATACAGAGAGAAAGAGAGAGAGAGTTCGGACTCTAAACAAAAGTAATTTCACACTCGCTGACTTTTCGGCGACGGCCGACCAAAGTGCAAAACAATTTTTCTTTTGTATGTTTTATAGGACCCAAAGAGCCCCAACCTACCCTACTCCACCCTTTTTGGAATGGCCCCGTTCCTGTTGCCATTTTTGGTGGGATATTTATTAGCCACAATTTGGCAGGCAGCAAAAATTGGCAGGTCTCTTTCGCTCCCCGGCCACCTGGCCACCTGGCTAGGCCTTTAAACGAAATCATAAAACGAAAATTTATTATTTATGCCAACTCTTTTGTGCTATTTGCCGTGTCAATTCGTGACTGTCCAGGACCAGGACATGGGCGAGGCCATCCATCGTCCAGCCCTCCCCAGAGTCCGCCTGCTGCCCCACCCTCCTCTTAAACTCTGCCAAATTATGAGAAAATCTTATGTAGCAAAGCGCATTTGTCACAATTAAGCGTTGGATAAAATTATGACTGGGGCTGGGAGGGAGACTCTTTCACTCCCTTCCTCTGCTAAATTTTTTTTTTTCGGTGCTTAAAATAATACAAAACCCAAAAGATGGGCGCCAGCTTGTAATACTCTTATACATAGATTGATGAAGGGTATTTACTAGAAGTAATTTGTATAGAAAAAGGCTCGTGATATAGGTCTACCGATTCAACCCGCTCTTCTTTAAGTCGGCAAAGCATCTTATGAAGTGAATACTATCCCCTGGCAGGGTATTACAAAGGGAAGCAAAAAGATGAAAGAGTCCCTGCCACGTTGACGTCGCCATCGACATAGTCGACATGGGACCGACTCTCTCTCTCTCTCTCTCTCTCCAGGCTCTGCCTTCATCTCCTCTCTCACCTGGGCGCTGAGCTGTGGCTGTGGTTTCGGTTTGTCTTCTCTTTTTTTGGCACTGCTCTGGCCCCTGGCTCTCAGTCTCTGACGCCCCTCCCGCAGGGCAGTCTATTATGATGGCGGGGCAACCGTCAGTTTTTGAAGCTTTTTGCCATGAAATATGCAAAGAGCAGTTAAAAAAACTTTTTATTTGTATTAATCAAACAGAGTTATTCCTTCCCCAGTCTCACTTCTTTCTCACTTTTGGAAACAATGGCAGCAACTGCATTATAAATAGGTGCAAAGGGTAGACTGTCGGAGGGAGACGGGACGGGATGGGACGGGCTGCCTGTGATTGTTTCGACATTTTTGACAATTATCGCTTGAGCATTTTTCAAAAGAGTGCACGTAAGTGTGGGGTGGGAGCGGGCGGCGACGGGGACCCAAGGCAGCGATGACAAATTAGTGTGGCCATAAAACTTGAGTGTGCGATCAAAGCAAACAATTTGTCGCCGATTCCCAGCCCCAGCCGCTGTGTCCTTTGGGTTCTCTGCCAAAACGTGAGCCATATACAAGAAATCGCATAAAGAACTACATACATACCAGTACTGCCACTACAATAACGACAACAAAATGCCCTGAAAAAGTAACTACATCAACGTCATCATTGTGTCCAAAGGGTAGAAAAGGAGAAGGAGGAGTGACGCCTTAAATTCTGCTCTCGCTAGAGATGTGTGCGTGATTTTAGACAATTTATGTGCGTGAAACGTGAGTGCAGTGGATCACAGCCACGTGATCCATAACACGTGACTCTCTTGCTTTTATCTCAAATACGAACAAGCTTGTGAAGAAGAATCTGAGAGAGGAATCTTTGCAGTGATGCAATGGAACTAAAGAGCATGATGAAATTATACAAGGTGGTCCGCTTACTCTCTTTCGGGTCTTGTTTTACGCTCAGCACTATTGAGAGTGCTTTGGCGTGATTTTCGAAGAGAGAGATCAAAAAAGACCCGCGGTAGTGGACCAGAAGAGCAATCTCTTTGATTTTTTGTACATTTTCACCCTGACCTGTGCCGCTCATCTCTAGTTCGTAGTTCGTATGTGTGTGTGTGTGTACGCTCACCTCTCGAAAAGGGGCGCCACGCCAACCCCACGCACTGTCTGTGCCCTTCTCCGAGTGGAGCTCCTGTGCCCCTTCCTTTCCCGCCCACCGCCAGCGTCTGGCGGCTTGCAATTTGGCAACACATTTTGGTTACGCGGCTCTGATCCGCCCCGTGTCGCTCCGCTGTGCACCGCTCTGGTCCGGGCCAAGAGTCGCTTCGAGCACTTTATATAAATTGTGTACAAATACTTTTTTATGGCTCTTCGAGTGCAACCTATTGGCTCGTTGATATACGACGAGTGAGCGGTGGAGAGAGAGAGCGTAATGGAGAGAGATGTCGCGTAGATGTGTCCGCTTTTATTACACATTTTTGCTAAATTACAGTTTGGCCGCAAAGTTTATGTACCCCACACCACACCACTCTCCTGCCACTGCCCCCTGCCCCTTGCCACTTGCCACTTGCCACCCCTTTGCCTAACCGAGTTGCGTGGCGTGGCATTTTAATAAACCAAAACTTGGTTTCGATTCGATTTACGGTTGCAAGCTCCATTAAGTGTGGGTAATTATTCAATGACGACTCAAAATCGGCAAACTTTTCCACGCATTCTCATAGACCATGCGAGAGGTGAGTGGGGAAAGGGGAGAGGATTGCCGGGAGAGAAGTTTCTTGGGATTTTGATAAATGGACAAATGGAGAAACTCGTTTATTAACGTTGACATTATAAGATTTCTTTCGCATTTTTTTTTGTGTGTCTCCGTCTCCACTATAAATCATCGCTGCTGCTCTCTAAACTGATTTACATTTTTGTCGCATTTATGAATGTCCGACAGTTGCACCTGTTGGGCGTCCCCAAAACAGGACGAGCGGAGGAAGAGATATGCAAAATTGATTTATAAAAGCCAAGTCGAGTGGAGTCCCGAGTCCGGAGTCCCGTGTCCCGAGACCGTGTCGCCTCTACTACCGCTTTCAGTGCATTTTCCACATCTTGTACTTATTTTTTTCCCCCAAACGTTTTACAGATGGCGAACCTATCAAACTACCCGACAATTTGGAGAGCCTGCCAAGAGCTGACAGTTTTCCATCACAGCGTCATCGTTGGAATACAAATGAGGTCAGTTCTAGTCCTAAATAAGTTGGTATTTGTGTTGTCTGTTCACTGTTTTCTGTTTTCTGCTTTCTGTTTCCTCCTTTTCCGTTTCTATTTGCATTTGATTGCACATAAAATTGTCGAAATGGGGGAAGCCAAGTGAAAGCCAGAAGGAAGTCCATGACTTGGCCGGGGCGGCACCCAAACGATCCGATCCAATCCGAGTGGACTTGGACGGAGACAGTTGACAGAGGCGGATGAGCCTGCCAGTCGTGGGCCTGGACACTTTGACAGCCTTCGAGGACGGTTTCCCCTTTTACTCTTGGGGCCACAGTGAAAGGTCTCTTGGGTGGAGCATCTTGGATCATTACTGCCGCCCTAGGGCTTTCATTCAAGGCAGTTTTCACTGTATTTCTATATGCAGATTAATGAGATGGCTTGCCAGTCTATTAGGGAGCCGTTCGCGAAGTTTTTATTGCGCCACAAACTATAATACAAACACGAGTTGAACGTGGATAGGACCAGGACCCCCTCGGATCCCCTCGGACCCCCTCTGACCACTGCACGTGCGATACACGCGTCGCCGAAAGTTCGCTTTCGCGTTTGTCCTTTTTCTGCGCGTTCCGTTCGGCTTGCAATAAAAGTTTTCACGGAAAATGGAAAACAGAAAATGCCTTGGGATGAGCTTGGCTTGTTGTTTTACTTGTGAATTAAGCGCAACCGCAAATATTCATTTGGACAGTTGTAAAGTTCCCGCTGTGGAGTGCTGGAAGCGGCATTTTACACACTCGCCCGACAAAGTTGACTAAATTAAAGGAAGCTGCCCGGGCGGCACAAAAGGAGGTTCGTAGCGAACCGAAATGTCGAATACCCTGGAGCAGAAAGAGTCTGGAGCCTGCAGAAAGCCCATTCTAGAACCCTGAAAGCAAATAACCCATGAATATCTGATATTATTATGTGTGTAGACAGTTGGACAGGATGACCAAGAGATGTGCCATATTTCTAAAGTATAAGAATAATATAGAAGGAAGACAACTATTTACAAATTTATTGTTAGTCCGTTTACTACTTCTATATATCCTCATCCATCTTTAGGCTCTTAATGCCAGTAAGGATTCTCTTCGCTCCTTTGCTAATGAACTAAAGAACTTCTTCTCGGAAAAAGAGCATTTTCAAGTTGATTAAAATAAAGTTTGCCAGCCAAAAACGGGAACAATCCCTGGCCAAACATCTGGACATGGACATGGCCAACTCCAGCACCAGTAGACCACCTCATGGACCCATGAACCCATGAACCCACCACCACCACCACCCTTACTGCATCAGCATGCAAAAATTACAAAATGTGGCCGTGTACCGGGCATAAATAAAATTACGCACGCTTATTTTAGTCCTGCTTACAGGCAAACGAGGAGGCCCACAGCAAACGGCAGTCAGGGCCCAAACCCTCCTCGGACTGTCGCTTTAACCACACAGTTTTAATTTGGCATTTAAGTAGCAGCCAGGGTGGGGGGACACAGAGCCACTCGACCCGGCTCATAAAGCAACTGCAAAAAATAATACGAGCAGCAACAACTACGCCACCAATGAGCCGTACTCTCCGTCCTGCCGTCCCTCCGTCCTTGTGTGTGTCTGTGTGTGGTTGGAAAAGGCGCAGCTTAAAAATCAAAAAGTTAAATTGATAATGAGTCGCAATTTTATTTGCATTTTTCTGTGTGACCCCCAGATGTACATACTGGTACACTTCTGCATCGGTCAGCCCAGGGGCCACGACACTGACTGGAAGTGATTAAGTGGCCATGGAGGCAGCTCCTAAGGCTTACGTTTCGGAGAGCTAGTAAGAGATCCTTTTAGGGGGCTCCATGGTGTTCCACTTTGTTATTTTTAGGCTGTTATTTAAAAAGTGATCGCACTTTATTCAATCCAAGCTTACGTTTTAATCGATAGTTGCACACATCGATACATTGCTGTGCTATCATATCGGTGTTCTGTATTAAAAGTTTAACGATCAAGCTTTTAAAGAGGAATATCCTACAAGGGGTTTTCCACCTTTGGGGAAATGTTCTTAGATTTCAAAACCTTCAAACAGCATTAAGGATTTTGTTATTTGCTTTTTTTGGATTCTGCTTTAACTATTGAACCCCTTTCTTTCCCTTTCTAATTGTTGTCCTGTCCGATTCGGTGGATGCTTCGTTTGGGTTCTCCACTCGGGTGAAAGTGTTGAAAGGTCGCCTGAGTAGAGCCCATGGCCACGCCCATATGTACATGTCTAGGTTTGCGGGGGGCATCAATTTTTAATGCTTCGCCTCCTCAAAGTTCCGAGGCCTGTTCCTCCGCGTATGTGCCTCGAATTCATCATAAAAAGCAGAGAGATGCCAGAGTTTGGGAAGCAGTTTGGAGTAGGTCGCTGGAGCCATGCATAAATAACCAACACACACATCCATCTATATCTACGAGTATCTTTCTATCTTTGCCTTATGGCATCCAAAAGGGCCAAGTCAGAGGCAATTTTGGCCAAAATGCAAACGTTTGCCACTTGACAAACACGCGCCTGTGATTTGCCCCAACTCCGCCCTAGCCTTGGGGGTTCCCCCTTCGTGTGTGTGTGTGTGTGTGTGTGTGTGTGCATACAATTTTTATGACACTCGCAAATGTTGCGATTTCTTCCGCCAACTGACATATGGAAAATGTTTTGCTGCACAGCTGAGGATGGCTCCAGAGGAGCCCCATCCTGCTCGAAGGATGGATGAATGAATGAATGAATAGATGGATGGCCACTTTGCATTATTCATGCAACGTCAAGGGAAGCAAACAAATTGATAACTTTATCGGCAAAACATGCAATGAAAAGTCAAGTCCAAATGGTCCAAAAAATCCAAATTCCCTGTGAACTTTCGCTGGCTGTTGTGTGATTTGCATTTGAATGGCATCCTCTCCTGCCTTCCTCCAGCTTCTGTCTCCGCGTCCATGGCCCTTCAGCGACTGCTTTCCTTCCTTCCAGCTTATCAGGGCAGAGGGAGGGAGCAGGCAGAGCATTTCAAATATGCACACAAATTGCACTCGGGATGCGTCTGTGCCACTTGGTGGTTCCTGGCCTGGCCAGCTCGGTTAAGTGTCAACTGCCGGGGCGACACCTGTAAATTGTGGTTAACACTTTGCACCCTTCCTCCGGGTACTCCTGGTACTCCGGGTGCTCCTGCTCCTCTTCCTGCCTTGTGGCAGTGTCCGCTTTGCGGTCAAATGAAATTTCTAAAATGTTTTCCTTTGTTTTATGGCGCAGAAATCCCTTCTGCTCTTTTTCTAGAGTTTAACGGAGGAAATGCCGCGAGTGCCGTGACTGGGCAGCGTAGCATTTTGGCCATTAAGTCAGGAAATTGTTAGCACGTTAGTTAAAGGGGCCAGTTCAGGCGGAGAGCGGATAGTGGATAACTTTTACCCAGAGATGTTAAGACTCGTGTTTCGTATCTCTGGATATTTCCATTAACGTACCATATTCGAGATCAGCAAATAAATACAGTGTATATTTTCCAGGAAATTGCTGCGATTCTTATCAGCTTTGACAAGCACTGCGAGTGGCAGTCCAAGGAGGTCCGAACCAGGTGAGTCACTGGCCACTGGACCCCATCGCCCCCCTTCATTTTTGAACATCTTTTATCGCAGACCCAAGAGCGGATCCCTGCTGCTGTACTCGCGGAAGAAGGTGCGCTATCGCCGCGACGGCTATTGCTGGAAGAAGCGCAAGGATGGCAAGACGACGCGCGAGGATCACATGAAACTGAAAGTACAAGGCACGGAGGTGAGTCGCCAGTCACCAGGGGCGCACAATTAGGCAATTAGTCTCAAGTCATTGGCATCGTTTGTCAAAGGGCAGCAGCAAGGGCATTCCACGGGTGGTCCTCCTTCTGGGTGACCGTATGAGTTATGATTTCCCGCCGGAAGTAGACAGAAAACTGACGGTGTCCGTCGTCGCTCCCGTTGCAAGGGTTGCCCAAAGGCGTCGCCCGCTGCCTGCTAATGAAATAAGCCCTGCCAAGGGTTAAGCTTATTTATAATGTCTGAAGGATGTCCGTCCGTCCGTCCGTCTATCGCTATCTCATTCGACTTTCCCCCTATTAGAGAAACATAAAAACATTTGGCAATTTCACGCCAATTTTTTCCTCCACTTTTCTTGAGTTTTTCTTCGTTTTTTTTTGGGTTTTTGGTTCTTTGCTGCTTGTTTTAATTTTTATTCTTAAAACATTTGCTAGTAAAAGTGGCAGTGCTGAGATTTATGCAGTTGGCAGAGCTAGCGGGGGGCCGTCTCCTTACATGATAACCGAAGCGAAGCCCAGGCGTTGGGGCAGGGTCGGCCCGCCGCCAAGAGAAAACAGAAGAAGTCAGCGGCATATCGCGGACAACGAGAGCCAACAAATTTATCAGCGGGAATAGAAAAAAAAAGTTTACAAAAACTAAAAAAAAACAACAAAGAACAAATAGACAAAAAATTAAGAGGCAAAGGGAACTCCAGAGAACAAGAAAAATGCGCAACGAAGTGCTTTACAAGTCGGGGAAAACCTTTTCCTTCTGGGCTCTGATTTTTGGCACTTACCGAATCCGTATCCGTATCCGTATCCGAGTCGATGTGGAAGACATGGCAACGCTGTGGCGCCCCCCCGCTATCGTGGGCGGTTGGTAATTTAATTTGAGCTCCGTTTTTATGTTTTCCAATTAAATGGATTCGCTCCCAGCAGGAGGCATGTTTTATGCTCTTGTTTTGATAAATTGAATTCCCTTCGATCTGCCTCACGAATCTCCGCTGCTCCTCCCCTCGTCCACAGTGCATCTACGGCTGTTATGTACACTCGGCCATATTGCCCACGTTCCATCGCAGATGTTACTGGCTGTTGCAGGTAAGTGGGGGAGTGCTCCCATCATCCCCATTCCCATTCCAATTCCCCAACTAAAACCCTTCGTTTGCTGTCTTCGGTTCTACACAAAACAGAATCCGGACATTGTTTTGGTGCACTATCTGAATGTGCCGTATCCGGATGATAATAAAATGGCAGTGATTGCCCCCAGCATCACCCTGTGGGGCGACAAGAAAGAGTGGACCAAGGAGGAGCTGGTCAGCCAGCTGAAGCCGATGCGTGAGTAGAGGCAATGCTTAGTCTTTCGATTGGTAATCCATTCCCCCCCCCCCTTCCAGTCTCCACAGTCAACTCCGATGATGACTCCGACTCGGGCAACGACATTGAGATATCGGTAAGTAGATCACCGTCTAGATTGGAGTTCCAGCTCATTTTTTCCTCCCCGTAGACGGCCGAGACCGTGGAGTCGATTGTGTGCCAGCTGATGGAGAAGCAGCGCTTGTCCCGCCAGGCGGCCCTCGTCAAGCAGCTCGACTGCGGCTGCGGGGACTCGGGCTGTGCCGACGGCAAGACCTGCACGCATCCCGTGATGCGGCGCACGGGCGGCATCATCAAGTCCGCGGTGGCCACATCGGCCTCAGAGAAGCGACTCAACGAGGGGGCCTTCAACGGCGGCACGCCCAATGTGGTGGTGGCCAGCAAGCTATACTCCCGCTGGGCGGAGCGGCCGCGCCAGCGCAACGATGGCATGCACCTGGACAACCCGCACGCACAGTTCCACAATGCCACGCAACAGCTGCCCCAGGAATCGGCCATCAAGTTTCAGATCATTCCTCCTCAACAGCAGCAGCAACAACAGCAACAGCAGACGGGACATGGCGATGGCAGCTATCAGCAGCAATATCGTGGTGCCAATCAGATGCTGGCCGCAAGAAGCAATCTGGTGATGCAGCAACAACAGCAACAGCAGCAGCAATATCACCAGCAACAGCAGCAACACTTGAGTCTGCAACGATTCGTGGCCAGTCAGAGCCAAAATTCGGCTCATTTGAATCAGCATCATCATCGCCTGCAAATTGCTAATACAACAATCACGGCCACAGCCAGAGATCCTTCCACAACAGTAGCAGCAGCAGCAACAGCAGCATCGGTAGCATCGGCATCAGCAGCAGGAGGAGGCTCCGTCTTAAATGGAATGGATACGGAACTAATTGAAATCCAAAGCCACATGACTGCAAACAAAATCACTAGCTCCGTCAGCAGCAATGGCAATGGCAGCGGCAGCAATTCCAGTGCCAGTGCCAAGCAATTAGCAGCTCAAACGAACAACGAATTAAATGTCGTAAATAATAACGACCCCAGCAACAATAACTTTATGTACAATCAACAACAGCAGCAACTGAATACTTCCAGCAACAGCAACAACACACAGCAGCAGCAGCAGCAGCAACATTATTATAAATTGCAACAGACATCAGCAACCCCAAACAGTGGCCAACTCCAACTCCAAAATCAAACACAAACACAAACCCCAACCCTTGTCCAACCCCCTGTTGAGGCCATGTGTATGTCACCTGAGCATCGCAGCGGCAGCAGCAGCAGCAGCAACAACAATACGGCCTCAACGTCTTCCGCTGTCAACAGTCATAACACCTCCCCCTCCACAGCCATAGCCACAACCACGTCCATGGCCGCATCTATATCTATATCCACATCTACGTCCGGCACATCGTCCACCTCGAGTTCCTTACAATCGATTATCGATGGCAATCAGCAGCAACAAATTACTACGACATCGACGGCAGCAACTTGTGATAATTTAATGAGCGCCAATGCGCTCACTGAGGTGAGTACAAACCGCAAAATCGCCTGCACTTAGTGTATTTATGTTGATTAAATTCAAACTTATTTGACAGCTGAATGGAGGGAGCAGCAGCAGCAGCAACAATCAGGCCACAGATGGCCACAACAAGAGTCAATCGCAATCTCAGCCTCAAACTCTGAGCCAAAATGGTTGTGCAACATTCAGTGCTTCCAGTGATAATAGCAGCCAAATTAGCGCCAGCGACGAGAGTAGCAGCTTTGGGGCCAACAATCAGAACAACAGCATACACAGCATCCACAGCAGCCAAAGCAGCAGCAGTAACAGCAGTGAGGACGAGCCCCAGGCGGGCAATGCTGCCGAGACCCTGAGCTTCTTCAACGAAACCCTGGATCTATCCCATGAGGATATTCAACGTACACTGATAGCCAATATGCAGCCGTACAATACGGCTGCAGGCGAAGCAGCCACGACAACGATAGAACCTTTGGCAACAAACGGCAGCCACAGTAGCAGCAACAGCAATGGCAATCCTCAAGAAGTGGAGAAGAAACCTTCAGTCGGCCAGGAAGTCGAAGCCGAACCTGAGGAGGATGACACAGACGATGTGTTTGCCAACCTGGATGCCTTCGATATGCTCGTGGAGTTCCCCGAGCTGGATCTGGATGATAAGCAGGCCCTGAACAACACGGCCTTGGAGCAGGGCTCCTATCTGGGACAGGCGGCCGCCCAAACGCAGCAGCCCCGCAAGATCCACAACATCTGCGACTTCAGTCCGGAGTGGTCGTACACCGAGGGCGGAGTCAAGGTACTTGTGGCCGGACCCTGGACGAGCAGCAATGGTGCTGGCGCCTACACGGTGCTCTTCGATGCCCAGCCCGTGCCCACGCAGATGGTGCAGGAGGGAGTGCTCCGTTGCTACTGTCCTGCCCACGAGGCGGGCTTTGTGACGCTCCAGGTGGCCTGCGGCGGCTTTCTCGTGTCCAATTCGGTCATGTTCGAGTACAAGCTGTCGCTGCTGGCCGATGCCCCGTTCGATGCGAGCAGCTCCAACGATTGCCTGTACAAATTCACGCTGCTCAATCGCCTCTCGACCATTGATGACAAGTTGCAGCTGAAGACGGAGCAGGAGCCGACGGTGTGTTCGATCTACAGATGGTTTTACAACTGTATTCCAACTGAATTCCTCTCTTCTTTGCAGACGGACCACACGGCTCTCTATCTGGAGCCGAACTTTGAGGAGAAGCTGGTCGCGTACTGCCACAGGCTGACGAAGCATGCCTGGAGCATGCCCAGCACAGTGGCCAGCTGGAGCGTGGGCCTGCGGGGCATGACGCTGCTGCATCTGGCCGCCGCCTTGGGCTATGCCAAGCTGGTAGGCGCCATGCTCAATTGGCGGGCGGAGAATCCACATATCATACTCGAAACGGAGCTGGACGCCCTCAGTCAGGATGTGTACGGTTTCACGCCGCTCGCCTGGTCCTGTGTGCGTGGCCATGTGGAGTGTTCCCTGCTGCTCTACAAGTGGAATCACAATGCGCTGAAGATCAAGACGCAGAGCCAGCAAACGGCCCTGGATTTGGCCAACCTGAAGGGGCACAAACATCTCCTGGCCCAGATATTTCGACTGGAGAAGGAGCGCTGCCGCAAGCCGCACTTGCGCGGCGGCCTGGCCAATCTTTCAATGAACCTAGGCGTTGAAACGGAAGCGGAGGAGTCGCAGCCGCAGACCTACAACAGCTTTGACCTGGAGATACTCCAAAGAAAGCACGATGGCGTCTTTCTCAGACCTGGGGCAGTGCATAGGTTAGTCGTCCAGCCTCTTAAATTTCAGTCAGCGTCACGTCAACCATTTCTCTGTGCTTCTCTAGCAATCAAAGTCCTCCCAACAATGGCAGCAGGTACTCCAAGCGCTCTTCCATAGACAGCGGCATCAACATGGACATACGCAGCAAGTCAGGCAAGTCCCTGGCCAGGCTGCACAGGTAATGTAGCCGCAATGTACCCTCGCATTCACTGACCGTATACGATTCCCTTTCATCGCAGCAACTTTGAGGGGCACGACAGCTATGCATTGGGAGTGGACTCGCCGCTGGATACGCTGACTGGGACCAATTGCCTGCTCTCGCCGCTGCGTAAAATGGATTTCGCCCTGTGTAAGTTTCTGGGATCCCCATGATCCCGTGCATGATCAAATGATCAAACGATCCGATGTGGTGCTTGGTTGATACTTGCAAAAACAGAAATGCTCAATGTGAAAATGTTTTCGGTAAATTCTAAAACTAGGCGAGGTATCCACGGGCGAGTCGAGCCCCATACACGACAAAGACATCGATGGCGATGACACCTCGACGAGCGCCACCGATGTGACCATAGGCAATGACCTGGCCCTGGCCCTGGCCGATGCAGTTGTAGGTCAGTGATGGCAGAGAGGCTTCTGCTTCTCTCCGGCTTTCTCTCGCTCTCTCCCACTCACCCGTACTTAATCCGTATCGTATTGTAGCTAAAACGTACTAACCAACAAAACCATGTGGGGATGTGTATGGGGGATGGGGGATGGGAATCTATGGGGCTATCGATGTTGTTCATATTGTTGTTGCTGTTTGTTGTTGCATAGGTGTATCTATAAATATATATGTATTTGTATATGTGTATGTATTGTGGAGCTCGTTTAATCAATGTACTCGTAAATGTTCGTTATTAATATTGGTTTCTGGTTTCTGGTTGCCTTTGCTGGTGCACACGTCCATGCGTCGCGCTCTAGCGGACTAGAACTAAACCCTTAACTAAATGTGCGTTTATATCGATGTCTATATAATATAATCAACCAATTACAAACTATAAACTGATAAACTGACAAACTGACAAGCTGAAAAGCTGACAAACACTCGCTCGCCTTCCGCATAATCAGCCACGAATTGATCGTTGTAAATATTACTACTACATCTATCGAAATGTGTTTGTATGTATGTAAATAGCTAGACATTAACACACACAAACACAGACACACACACAACGGATTGCTTGTCGGTGTATATTATAATAAATATTAATAATACTATTAATGTACTTAAATATTGTCCAAGCATTTGGAAATAGAGTTGGGCCCTCCTGCTTAGCATAGTATAGTATTTTATGTACTTGGCGAAAAGGGCCCAACTCTGTTCAGTAGACTCGTTTGCCATGTCTCTGCATTTGTATATATTCGAGTAAACTGCCAACAACTATTGATAACTGGATACTGGAATGCTTTCAGGGGACTCGGATGCCAAAGTGCTGACCCTGGCCGAACACATTATAGCAGCAATGCCAGAGCGCATCAAAGTGAGTTTAAGCCAGCGGATTACCTATCAGCTTCGATTGAGAAAAACGATCCAAAAACATTTACAGAATGAAGCCGATGAAATGATGGTGCTGGGCAGCCCCTTGACTGAGCCACTGACCTCGGAGTCCTCGGCCCTGACAGACAGCTTTATGGATCCCCTGCTGGACTCGCTTCCCAATACGCATTTCGACAGCGACTTCAACTTCGACTTCCACGACCACAGCTATCGGTACCACGATGTGAGCACTCCCTGCTCCAGCCTGAGTCCCGCCAGCTCGGGGCCGCTGCAGTCGCCGGCCAGCTACTCCATACTGGGCACAGATCCGTCTGTCAGCTCGCCCAGTCCGCCGCCGTCGACCAAGCAGCTGACCGAGTTCCTGCACGCCTCCAGCCTGTCGCAGTATCCGTTCGAGGCGGACTTCTCCAAGCTGACGCTGACCGACACGGAGCAGCGGGAGCTGTACGAGGCGGCCAAGTGCATACAGAAGGCCTACCGCTCGTACAAGGGCCGGCAGAAGCTCGAGGAGCAGAACAAAGAGCGCACTGCCGCCATTGTCATCCAGAACTATTACAGGCGGTACAAGCAGTACGCCTATTACAGGCAGATGACCAACGCCGCCCTGGTCATCCAGCATGGCTATCGTTCCTATCGAAAGAACAAACGCTTCAAGAAGAGCGGCCTGGGCCAGGGCATGGCAGGGGGCAGCGATCACGGCAGCGTCAGCAGCAACTCTCAGTGCCTGTCCAGCTTCTACGACCACTACAAGCAGGATCAGCAGCAGCTGCAGCAGCAGCATGAGATGGGCTCGCAGCCGAGCACGCCCAAGGAAACCAGTCCCTCGGGTCCCTTGAAGTGAGTGTGGAGCCACAAATTGAATCATTCTGTACTCATTCGAATGGCATTTTGCAGACGAACATACTCGCAGTCCACCCAGAATCAAGCTGCCAGGAAGATCCAACAGTTCATGAGACAATCACGCATCAAGTAAGTTAATCAATTAGTCGCTAGATATCGTACTATATAGTAGATGTAGGATAACCATAAGCTAACTCTTGGGTACTGTAATTGCACGCAAGCATTTGGGATGCCAATTTGACGACTTTGGTAAGACGGCGCTGAGACGAGTATTATTTAACGAACAGTATTATTTTTAAACACATTTTATTTGTTATTTAACATTGCTAGTATGTTGTGAGGCTTACTAATGGCTTTTCTCCTTTCCCACACGCACACAGACTACAGAGAGAGCGAGCCGAAAAAGAGAAGCTGGTGCACCAACGCAGGGCGGAATACCTTCAAAACTTGCAGTATCAAGGGCAGCAGGAAATCTTGGCTTGCCTAGAAAATAAGTGAGTCCCATCCCCATCCAGTATGACCATCCAGTAATGTCTCTTAATCTCTAAACCCTTTGCAGCAGTTCTGCCCAGAGCAGTGGCAGCAACACCTATACGAACAGCATCAACAATCTACAATCCAATCAGTGAGGGTAAACTGAGTGAATTTTTAACATAGGAACGGGCTACAACAGGCCACCGCGTTCCATAAGAATTTATGAATAGCTTTAACAACTGAGTGAAACGTTTCTACTTTCGTATTTATTTTCGATTAGACTACAATCCCGAGCACCTCTGTAGTAGAACTCTGCTTCCAGCTCAACTCTCTCTCTCTTTCTCTCTCTATCTATGACTATCACTCAATTATTAGAAAGAACTACCTGCACTTTGATTCATTTGCGTAACGAATTTTAAACTTTGAAAAACTGATTTCGAAATGAACTTAGACTAGGTTAGTGGTTTTTACATAAGAGTACTACGTATTACTTAACATAATCTTAACTGAAAATCGAAAATCGAACCGAACTCCAGGGAGATGATGAGAGCACACAATTTTTCCATTTGTCAACTCGAAAGAACTTATTACCGAAGCCTTTGAAAAACTTTTTAACTCCAATTGTAGTGGAAACCGTAGTCTACAGTATATATATACACACATACATACATACATATTATATACAATGAACCTAAATCAATATAACTATTAGCAAGTGTATGCGCCTATATAGTTACATTTTGTATATACTATAGATACGCCCAACTAACTAAATTCTAGTCTATTTTATCGTACTACTACCAAGCAAAGCTATGCAATGTCTCTGAAGGCAAACAGCGTACCCGAACCCGAGCCCAAGCCCCAATCCAGATTAATCCAACATTAATCATCGACTAAACTACGTTAGATAGCCAGTTAACTAGTCGCTACGCTAACTGCTCTTTAGGTCTAAGACTATGGACTCCACCGTAGAGTTCGCAAATGTTGTTGCTGATTTCTAAAATCAGAGTAGAGTTTGGAGTGCGCAGCAGCTGCAAATCTACGCGCCTACGGTCGTATATATATCATGTTTCAAACAAAGCAAAACTAATCTTATTTCCCTCACGCAAGTACTTAAAGCTATGTCCTAATTTATGTGACTACTTCGCTTAGTCTAAGCCTAGTAAATGATAGAATAGAACAAACTTAGAGATAACCTTGTTAAGCTCCTTGGATGATGACTTAAGCTGACCCAGACTCGATCCGGCAAACACGGAAGGAGGAGGGACTGGACGGGACGTCCTGTTGGTATGGTTGAAATCTCAGTCTCAACTTTCTGCTGCCTCAACTGGTTGATCCTCGATCTATAATTGCTTGAAGACGACACAGCCAAAAACCCAACACCGAAAACCGGAAAACCGAAAAACCAAAAGCAAGAGAGAAAAGTTTTTAAACTAAATGTAACAATAAATGAATTTTTGTAAATTATTTTTGTCCGTCCACATTGTTAGCTTTCATAACATACCAACAAAAGCATATATACTTACAAATATACACCAAACAAATATATACATACCTATATAGAGAATGAACCGATACTGATCTGAAAGGCGGCAATCTGATGCAATGAAACAATTTTTAAGAACCGTTCAAGTTTGAATAATTAACCAATAAACCAAGAACAAAAACTAATCTAATGTACAGACACCAAATGTAAAACTACGGAAAGTTCAGAAGAAAGAGCAGAAGACCTCCGAAAAGCCCGACTTGCTGCAGCGAATGCAACTGCCACTGCGAGAGTCTGCAGGGCAGGGCAGGGCAGGGCTGGGTCTACTCTACCACATTGTTAACTATTCAACTAAAAAAAAACTATTATACTTAATTCGCACTCTAACAACTACTCAACGGAACTTTGATTGCATTTTTCTCTTACTTAACTTAACTTATACATAGATCTGATCAACTCAACTGATTCGGAAACTGAAATGAAGACTAAATACGATTTCACTACTCAACTGACTTAAGAATTGCAATCAATTTTGTTAACTTGCTTAGGCAGTGTGTTAGACATGTGACAAAACAGCAGCTAAAAACGAAACTACAAATGAAATCGATATCTAATTAAATGCAATATTTGCACTTACACACATACACTCTTAAACTCTCACCAACACACCTACACCAACACACACACACACACACATGTAGACGAAACCTGAGTGTGTTTAAATGGAAAAAAGTCTTTTTAGGTAGAGAAGGAGCGGCCAAAGGGCAAAGAAAAACTTAAGTACCTTAAGCCAATTGGCACTAAAACTAAAAAAACTAGAAACTAATCTAAACTAAACTAAAATCTAACAACAAATTATATACAAACATATGTATGTCTAAAACGCAATACCAATACCACACTATGTATATCTTCTATCGAACAGATCGTAGGATATAGGCATTTCGCCCTCGCCTAGTTTCGTTTGAAGCGTTTTTTCTTTCAACTGAACTAATTCTAATGCAACACCAAAATTGTTGATATTTAACGAAAACTTTATACAACCGAAAACCAAAAAACCAAAAAAAAAACACAAAAAATATATACATATATACAGTATAGAGCATATTGTAGCTAATATAATTGGATATTTGGTACTCACATATCTGTTAGATAATTTCTACCTATCTTCGTCCTAATAGAACTTCACTTCCAAAGTGCGGCGCATGTACCAGGCAAACATTCTTCTCCAATTAAGTAATCCTACACCTAATCCTAGTCCCTAACTAATCGAAATCGAAATCTGAATTGTTTGTTTCTGCTTAGTAGGGCAAATATTGGAGGGGAGGGTAATGTGAAACTGTTAACTAAACTTTTAAGTAAATTATTGTATACATAGAGTGTACGCTCTTTTTAAATATTATACCTACTTGTATGGGATATTCATCATGAACTATAGTACATATATGTATACATACTATATCTACATGCAAGTAATATATGCAAACTAAACAAATCTTTAACGAATCAACGTATTATACATATATATACATATACATATACATACATGTATGTACAGACACAGACACTGATACACACACACACACAAAAGAACACAAAACATAGAGTTATATATACACAAATTTATAAATTGTATAACGACTTTCCAGTTTCTGTAAAATTGTAATTAATTCAATAAAGTTTAATTCAACACTTTAATCCTCCCACGATCCGCCGACCGGCCTGACATCCGTCCGACATACCAATTAGCGATCAATTTGTCCAACTGGCGCCAGTCATTATCAATGGCTTGTCCTTGGCCCTAACCCTATCAGCCCGGCCCCGGCTCGGTCCCAGGGAAAGTGTCGGTTATCTGCAGGTAAAAGAGACGAAAAAACACCAAACCCTAAACGAAACGAAACGAAACGAAAGACCTTCTCCTGGCAGCTGCCTGGGTCAGCAGCATTTCCTTTTCTATCTCTTCTTTTTTTTCCTCTTTTTGGTTGAGCTCAATTAACACTTGCCGGTGGTGCTGCTGCCTCGCAGCGGGATGGGACGGGGCTGAGGATGAGCTAATGGGGCGTAGATACATCTGTATCTTCTCGGAGGTGTCGGCCGTTGTTTCGTAATTACGAGCACAATGCAAAATGCCACAGCACTCGCAGTCTCTTGTTAATAAATCGCTCCTCCTCATCGCTCCACTCATTCACTCGCTCCGCCTCGACCTTTTGCCAGCGGATGAAATCGGATGCGTTGGCCATCGCCAGAGCAGAGTCTTCCTGCCGCCGCTTTTCCAGCTCAGTTTACACTTGTTTATGGGCAATCGCTGTTTAGCCCGAAACAGCATTTTCCCAATGCGATTTTCCGCACTTCTACTCCTCGGACCTGATCGCTTCACTGGCTGCCATGCCCCCTCCCCACCCTTCCTCGTTGGGCGTTCGACGGGCAGCGGAAGCTGCTCTGCTCCGTGGGGAAATGTGAAACCGAGCGTTGAGCCATAGCAAATAACAATAAACCGAAAGCAATTCTCTCTCTCCCTCTCTAACTCCAGCTTTTTGTGTGTTTTTATTTTTTATTTTTTGGTAATGCTGTTGTTAAAATGGAACTTTTCGGGCTATTCATGATTATTTCATGGCTGCTGTGCCTTGTTTTTTGTGTGTTTATATATTGTTTTATGGTCAGCTGGCAGTGGAGCGATACACGCTGGCTTTGGGGCAAAGGTAGCCAATTATTCTGATGGAGAAGGGAACTTTGAGCTACGAAATTTCAATGGAATCCAATTGGATACAGTAGAAGTCATCTAAAAAGGACAGATTCTGCTCTTCAACTGTTGCCAAACATAAGACTTGGCTCAGAGCAGTCTCAATAAAGCCCAGACAATGGATCGATATGGATTAGCCAGCCCAGTACTCGATCCTCGAGATCCGGTGAGGCACAACAATGTTGCAGCGACATTTTTGAGTTGCAGCTAATCAACAATCGATTGCCGGCCATAAAGAGTGGCTGAGGCTCCATAAAACAATTACCTCAAGCTAAAAATTAAAAGTCTTGGCACACAATAAACTACGAGTGCTCTGTGGGTACGGGTACTTGGGCAAGACACTACTGGCTGTCCCTGTCCCGGTATCTGGGTCAGCCAAGACTCTGATTGTGCTCACACACGGGGTTTTTACCTCAGAGTCGCAGACAGACCCAGAGCCAGGTGCTGACAATGCATTGGGGCAGAGATTGGCAGTAATTGACGTCAACTATTATTGGGATTAACAGCTCATCATCATCATCATTCTAATCATCAGAATGAGGATGACGACGGGGATGGTGACTCAGGCGGCGGCTAACTAAAGTCAAGTAAACAACAATGGATTTTCAATTGTTTTTTTTCGAGCTGGAACAGCGGGCACCTGCTGGCTCTTGGCTGTTACCTGTCAACGGCTGGCTTTCCACCAAACTGTTTAAATTAACTTAATTGCATTTAATAGGCTGCCAGCAGAACACGTCTTGTATCCAGATCCAGTCATCAAGAGCGTCAACAGCGAAAGAGATATATGTATATAGTCGTACGTCTGTGGCGACTGCTCCGGGTCCAGGCCGCCGCTGGGCCCCAGGCCTGGGCAGGAATTAGCATAAATGACATATCAATTAAGACGACACAAGTATCCGAGAAATGCATTAGATGCTGCAGCTCCTGCACAGCCACTGTCCCAGAGACCCTCCTCCCGGCTACCGTACGCCTGCAGTTGTCATTGAAGAGGCGCGTGAAAAATAAAATATCGAGGCTTAAAACATTTCCCAACGTAACCGAGAGGCGGCCTGCAAATAACCGACAATAAATCACTTTGAACAAATGTTCAAAAACAATTTGTAAAACTGCAGACTGCAGAGATCGCTGCTGAAGCTGAAGCTGAAGTCGGAGTCGGAGTCAACACAAGTTATAAATTTTCGCGGGGAAAAGCAGCAACAAAATCTGGGAAAAATCTGTAAAATACACATTTGTAGCCACACTTTGATGAACATGATTTGTGTTTTGTTCGACACGCTGACAAATAGCCCAGGCAGGTTGTTAGGGGGAGACGCAGGGGGGGCATGGCCAGAGCATGCGGCATTCAGATTCGATCAATTGTCGAAGGGGAGCCCAGACCAGCCGTTTAGCCTGTCCCGAAAATTCTCAGACGCGAAAACACGACTTTTAACCGCATAATTGAATTGATTGCCGAAGAAAGTTTTTCCCCCAACAATCATTAAATCGAGGCCTTCGTCATTATCTTTTTTAAAATGGCAAGAGAGACCGCAGTCGCGTGCAGGATCGGCAGCCAATCGCAGTCTCAATTGGGGAACGAGCATGTTGCGCCTGCAGCTTCATCGAACAGGGCTTAAACTCCAGTTGGGTCTTGCGGCATGTTTGAAGCGAGCCAGGTTCGATGCAATTCGTGATCAATTGATCAATTACAGTGAAAAAACAAGAAGGAACACTAAGGAAGAGCCTCAGAGCTTAATGCAAGCTGTACGTGAATCGATCCACACCGAATCGAGTCACAGATACGAATCCATTCTTTTATCTAGTTATCTATACACCTGAGAGGGGGTTGAACTAGCTCATAGCTCATGGATCATAGCCCAAGAATGACTCAGTATTTTCCGACTGACTATTCATTCGTTCATTCATTATTCAAGCCTCACATCGGACTCGAACATGTTGGCTGCCCGCTGTTTCGGTGGTGTCTGAATATTTTTCGGGCCGCTCAAACTCAAACCATAGCTCGCGCGCGACGGTCGGTCGAGCGGGATACGACTCCATACGTATATAGCGATATAGCGCATTCTGGCAGATCGGGTTCGTGCAGCGATCTGCCATCAGCCATCAGTGCCTCCATCCTCCTTCTCGCGGACAATCGATCGGTGTTCCTGGCTCCGTTTGTCGTTTGTCGGCTCGGGTCTTTAATTGCGTCACTAATGAGCTGCATTTATGTTAATCTCTGCACCCGGGACGTCTAAGCATTTCAAGCGACACTCAGGGATCCAAGATCCAGCGATCGAGCGATCCAGCATTCGGCACTTCTTCTCTTCTTTTCTTTTAATTTTTGGTAGTTTTCACCTGCTGAGCCGTTTATGGTTATTGCCGCAATTCCGTTGTGACAGTCGGAGGCGCTTTATCATAAATTAAAAAATCGTGTAGTCGGACAGAGCCCGGACCCCGGGACACCCGGCCCGTCCCGCGGCCCAACTGATGGATGATGGTGCCGCCGCTGATGCCAGTTTCGGCTCTGAGTTATGGCCGGGCCAAGGCGGAGATTTGCATGAATGAAACGCACGCGCTGATAAACGAGCTGCTGGCCACAACAGCACCATCAGTGCCGGCCCCAGCCCCAGCCCCGGCTCCAGTCGCAGTCCCACTCCCAGTCCCAGCATCATCTCGAAAACTGTTTTGTGATCCGATCTTGGTGCTCTCGCGATGACTTAATTGAAACGCCGCTGGCAGAAGCAGAAGGTGTTAATTAGCATATGAACAACTGGACAAAAAAGACGGCGGTCTTGTGTATTTTGTGTTTCGATTTTCGGCTTTCGGCTTTCGGACTCCGATTCGGTATTGGTCATTGGCTGGTCCTCCTCCTAATACAAGTGTGTATTTGTGTAGTATTATTGACTGCTGCCGTCTGCGTTTTCGGATCATTAATAACAACCAGACATTGAGGCATTGGCTTACATCCCATAGAAGTTCTGTATCCGCTCGGTTTCCTATGGCAGTGGAGCCATAGGAAAGGGTCGCGTCGCTCGAATAACAGCCGCATCAGCGAACGGGACTCCCGCCTCTCAGTGCGAATGGGATATGATGATAGTGGCAATTGTTGCGCCTGTATTCGTGTTGTGTGCCGCCTCGGATCTGCATCGTCATGTGGAAAACACATAACAAGCTCTTAATCTACATACTCTGGATTATGGAAATAAGGTATAGTAGCTCCCATAATCGGTGTGCCATTAGCATGTAGTGCCAAAGAATTCGGTTTAGGTTTAGGTTTCGTGCCGGGCCGTGTCGTGTCGTTTGCCAGGGGAGAGGAGAGTGCCAGTTGGTTGGGGTTTTCCTTTTATCGCTGACAGATCTGCTCGGGTTGACAACTCTCTCGTGGCGTCCTCCTATCGCGCACATCGCTGGACACGATCGCTAATTTTTATCTGCAAAAACCACCGCGAGATGTATGTAAATTGTTATTCCTTATCGAACGCCCAAACAGTGTGCGACGCCTCAATCCTCGAGAGACCCGTGTTCGGATAGCATCCCATTCTATGGTTGGGAAATGTCGGCAGGCGTTGCCATAAATCGGTCGGACGACTGGAGGAAAAGGCGCTGGAAAAAATCTCATTAAAATTGGCAATTAAATGGCAGGCAGCAACTAAAACACAAAACTGACAGAAAGACAGCCGACTCGTCATCAAGGCGACTGCCATTTGTACCCAAAGCGAATACAGCGAGGAGCAGCTCTATTCGCGGTACGGAAGGCGGGACTGAGGGGATGGGGATGCAGAAGGAGGAGGAGAAGGAGAAGGAGGAGGAGCACCAACGACAACTTGAAATCAATTTTTGCCATAAACTCATCAACGTTGCCTTGTCCGTGTGCCGTGTGTCCGTCCGTATCTGTGGCTGTTTCGACTGCTATCTAATTGCCCCGATGCAGTTGCAGTTGCAATGAGTGGAGTGTATCTTTAAGATACGCGGCCCCACTCGGTTCCTCTCTCCCCCACTCTCTCTCTCTTCTCCATCCTTGCGGCAGTGGGCTGAACTGGACTGGTGGGCCGACCCGATGCCGAGCCTGTGCACACAATGCATGCCACAGCCAGAGAGCATCTCCGACCGGGCCATGGCCCAGAGATCGGACCAAGAGAGCAACGAAAAAAGGGTCTTAACCCAGAAATGCTTAGCTCATGTAATTGAGGTTACTGCAATTTTAAGGCGCATGCCTCCGCACCAAGCAGGAAACAACTTCCAGCTGCAGCTCCCCCTCCGCGGCCACATCTCCTGCTCTTCTCTGCTCTGCTCTGCTAGCGTACATGGACAATTGGAACGCATGAACGTGCAGACAAACGCTCAAATTGCGATCAAGATCACTCTGTGCCGAGACTTGTTGGCCAACCCGCTGCATTTACAAGCCCAAAATGGCATAAACTCTTGTTGCAAGTTCCCAGTTCCCAGTTGTCGGTTGTCGGTTGTCGGTTGTCGGTTGACTGTTGCTTTTTGCCTGTTGCCAATTTCCCAGGCCAACCTGCAGAGCTGTGCGGGAGCCGTCGGCGGCAGTGGCAGCGGCAACGGTGGTCGAGGAATCTTTTCTGTGGCTGCGGCAGTCATTGGTGGGGTTCTTTTACTACTCGTGGAGTCGTAGCTCCAGCTATGGATGAGTGATCGACTGCAAACCTCAAAGCACAAACAAAACTATCTGCCGTTGATCTGTTTGTCTGGCCGTGATGGCAAGGGCGGGCGGAGCCAAGAGCCACAGGGAGAGCCAGGCGGATGGCTGAGTGGCCATTCGACCACTTGGTCTCTGCCAATTGTCCATGACGAACGATCCGTTTTGGCTTTTACCTGTTACATGGACACGGCAAACATACACTGAGCGAAACAATCGTCGGCAAACAAAGAGAGTGGTTCGCTGATGGCGATGCCACTTCAAAGTGCTCCAAGCTCGGGTTACGTTACCCTTTGGATATATTGGGTTTATGTTCTTCTCTCTGCTTTCTAGATTTCCTATAGCTATATTTATTGTACTACCAATACCTCTTTACATTTTCTATAACGTATTATTGTGAAATCAAAATGGATGGATTTGAATTTATTCTCCAAATTCTGTAGGACTCTGCCTAAGATTTCTTGCTTTCTTGCAACTCTTTGGACTGCCTTTTTTCTCTCAGTGCATCTATGGTACATATGTCTTTCTCTGGTCAATTACGTCGTCGTTTTTGTGGCCAGGATGGGGCTGCAATTGTTGCTGGCCGTTTGTCTGACCGTGGCAGCGACATTTTTCTTGGCCATGACCATGGTCTGCTTCGCTTCAATGCTCCTTTGGGCCGCTCGCCACGCTCCCTCCTCTCTGCAGCGGCCCCTGCAGCCACCCATCCGCTCCGTGGTCTTGGAATATTTGTATTTTATTGATGGCATGTTGAACAGCCTTTATGGGTTTTCGGTTTGTTCGCTGCTCCCCTCCGTCCTCATTGGGCTCCTCCGTTGACCACTCCCTCCCGGCACCGCCCACTTTACATGCAGCTGTAGAGCAAAGTTGTGGCTTTTATCAGCGCCACAAAACTTTCAAATGCCCCAACAGAGAGAGGGAGAGATAGAGACAGAGGGAAGACTGCGGACCCAAGGCATTGCATTGTTTTGTCTGGATTAAAGCGCCTTTGTTGCTTCCGCCTCCAATTGGTGCTAAAAGAGCCATAGGAGATGGGGGTGGACAGGGACAGGGGCAGGCAGGTCCAGGGAGAGCCATGAACATGTCAGCAAGCCATGTAATTACCGGCGAGAGCGCCAGTCATATATTTCTGCCTGCTCTTGGAGGCGCTACTGGTGTAGTACTCGCACCACAACCGCCTTCGCTGGAGTCGCAGTCCCTGTCCCACTCCCAGGTCTCGACACAGCGGTGGGTCGAAACTATGCGGCGGACTAGATTCGCACAATTATGACAGGGCCCTAACCAGATCGGGCGCAGATCGGGCCCAGCGTATGCGGCAGTCGAGGAGTCGAGGATCGCCGGGCCACAGCCAGTGTCTGGCCTGTGCAGTGCCGTGGTGACCAGAGGGAAGAGGAGATCGGGTTCGGGTTCGGGTGCGGGTTCGGTTTCGGTTCGGGCTTCTACGCCTGCGCGTGAAAATATTAAAGTCATATTTTTATGAGGCTCCAAAGTGCGCATTAAGTCGGCCTCTCTCGGACTTGCCTGTTGCTGCTGCGGCTTGTGGCGAGTATTGACTCGGTCTGGGTTCGGGCATTTATGCTTTGGTCAGCATATAAGTGGCCTGTCCCCCATTCCCCGGCCTGGTCAAGCTGCCGGCGTTGAGTTATGCCCCTGGCTTAATCCATTTTTAATGATTCCGCGTTGTCGTGGCAAATATTTTTGTGCAAATTAGTGGCTGAGGAATCACCAATTTGTTGCAGAGCAGAAGCCATAAGACTGTCAATGGAACTAGTTTTGTTTTTCTTAATGCGAAACTCTATTTGGGATACTCGTAGATGAGAGGGCAAGGCAGTGGTTGAGGCTGAGGCTGAGGCGGAGGCGGAAATGGTATCAAGTTCATGACAGGTCCTTGCTCTCACGCAGCAGAAAGGGTCACGAAACCAAACCGAACCGTTCTCGATATAGAACCAGAGATAAAACTCCACTACGAGTGAACCACACAACAAAAAGTGAAGCAGTCTAAGGACAAAACAGAAAAAGGGATCCGAAACAAAGCACAAATCAAGCACACACGTGACTTGGACTCTTCAAGAGGATGGAGATCATTAAAGGGGATGGCGTTGGGGATGGGAATGGAGATGGAGATGGAGATGGGCTGGGCAGGGCCTGGGCACGGCGGAAGGTAATGGCGATGATGATGATGATGAAATTGTCGGCGTTGACATGCAACAGGCGGAGGCAGCCGCAGAGGCAGGCAAATAAAGCAGCTAAAAACAAAAGGGTTGAGGAGAGATGGTTGCCTTGATTGTTCGGCTGGAGGTTGGAGTTGCTATAGAAGAAGGGCAGGGCCCGGGGCAGGGGGCACGACGGTCACGCTGAACGAACGCACGTAAAAGCTATTGACAGACTGACTGGCTGACTGACTGACTGACTGTCAGAACGGATGCACCACCGACAGATTGATCAGCTTGTTTTTGGGCCAACTAAAAAGTTGAAGGTTTGTGGTTGAGCCCTTAGTCAGTCGCCAGTTACCAGTTGCCAGGTCGTGCCTTTTAAACGGGCCTAATTATTAGTTTTGCCACCAATTTTCATCGTTCATCGATCGTCCCGGATCGCTCAAGTCATGTTAACAGCATGTTTAACAAGCCAACAACAACATCAACATCAGCATGAACCAGAAAGAAAGGACAGCCACGAGGGTCGACTACTAAAGTACCCTGGTATATTATACCAAAAGCGGATCGTTTATAGGACAGCCATACGGCATGTGAAGAGATGGGATTACAGTATACCAATAAGTATACATTTTATAGGATTTTATGGAACAGGCATTGGAAACTACTGAGAATGGTGTATACTCGTGAGGTATACCTTTGGGAGGGTATAGCATCAACGACTCCGATCGCATATCAACCTGCGACGATCATCGTTCACAATCGATCGGCCGAAGGTTCGCTCAGATATTGGGGAGGAGCGACTCCGTGCTCTTCTGCGGTTGGTAAAATGTGTAATTTCTGTAAATTGATTTAATTGCCGCAATTAAAAATGTCTTGAAAGAGTTGGAACTCAAGCTGGAGTGGCAGCGAAAGCAATTTACATTTGTCTACAGACGTGGCATGGCCATGTGGCAACCAGTCGGAGTTGGAGTCGGAGCTGGAGTTGGATTTGCCCACCCAATTGTTTTTTGGCCCGAGGATGTGTTTGGCACGGCAACAGTCCCAGTTTCAGCCACCCTCCCCACCCCCGTCTGGTGCGGACAAAAGGCGATCGATCTACGACTTGATTATGGAACCAGCTGTTTGATGCTGATTGGTTTGGCAGCCGCAAATCGACAGGTTAGACAGTCGGACACGTCTCAAGAGTGGGCCGGAGAGTGGGCCGCATGAAAGGAGAGAGAACGGGAGACGCCCCCGCCTGGCTCTGGCTCTGGCTCTGGCAATTTGCAACTCATTGTCAAAACTCATTAATCCCATTTGCCATTTTTGACTGTTAGCATTAATTTGGCCATTTAACTCAACAACTGAGATCAGCTCTGCTGAGATCAACGTGGCTCGAACGGAGTTGATTGGACACTCCATCGAGCCACGATGGCTGCCTGCCCGAGCTTCTCCATCGCCATCTCCATATCCATGTAATTATGGCTAATAATACAGCTGGCGGCAAAGATTTGACTAAAACTGACAGAATAACGCCCCGTTAGCCCCCTCTGCACTGCCAGCCCTCCCACAGCCACCTGACAGAGTCAGCAAACAACTGCAACGCATTAATCTTGGCCAGACTCGACTTGGCCTGGCTTTAATACGTTTGTCTTCGATTGGCCGAGATGTGGGGCTGAAGTCTCCAATGGCAAACGAAATGGAAAATGAAAATGAAAATCGAGCCGCAGCTCCAGTGCTGGCGGCGTTTTCTGTGCACGACTTTTCAGCCATTGCCAATCGAACGATCCCAGCAGCGATCGATTGAACGATCCAACGATCCAACGGTCCAACTGTCCAACGATCGATCGGCGTTTGTTTGTAATATTTTATTCGATGTCGCTTGGTGGTCTACAGGGTGTTATTTATGGTTCTGTTTGCTTTGATTTCTCGTCAGATTAGTGTCCAGCTTTACATCCGCCATGCTCTGCGGCCGCATACCGGGCCTGACCTTGCCGCAGCGCCAGCTGTGCGGGGAGATGCCGGACGCCCTGATCGCCCTGGGCGAGGGCCATCAGCTGGGGGCCCAGGAGTGCCAGCAGCAGTTTCGAGGCCACCGCTGGAACTGCTCGGAGGTGTGGCAGCGCAACGTCTTCGCCCATGTCATACCCATAGGTGAGCGTCCACGAAACCCCCTTTGATAGCCCTCTAATCACGGCTTCTATTCGTTTCTCAGCATCGCGGGAGGCCGCGTTTACGTATGCCATAGCTAGCGCTGGGGCCGCCTATGCAGTCACCGCTGCCTGTGCCCGCGGCAACATCTCCACCTGCGGCTGCGATGTGCGCCACAAAGCTAGCCCCTCCTCCGATGGTGCTCCGGCAGAGCCCTGGAAATGGGGCGGCTGTTCTGCGGATGTGGACTTTGGCATGCGATATGCGCGCAAGTTCCTCGATGCCCGAGAGCTGGAGCGCGACTCCCGCACGCTGATGAATCTCCACAACAATCGAGCCGGGCGAACGGTGCGTATTATCATCCATGTGTTCCCTGTTCTTGAATCTCCGTTCTCTTCCCTATCAGCTGGTGAAGAAACTGCTTCGCACGGACTGCAAGTGCCATGGCGTGAGCGGGTCCTGCGTGATGAAGACCTGCTGGAAGAGCCTGCCACCGTTCCGCCTGATCGGCGACAAGCTCATGCAGAAATATCATAAAGCCAAAACTGTTCAAGCCGTTCGAGGCAAACGTGGACTGAGATTAGTAATAAGCAGGTGAGTGAGTGAGCCCTCTGATCTGATCAGACGAAGGACTTAAAGCCCATTGGAATGAAAACTAATCCAACGAACTCATTCATTCTTCTCCATCCCGACCAGAAAAAAGCATGGCAGTGCCGGAGCCCGCCCACCGAAGCCTGCTTTGGTATGGCCAAAGCGCATGGAGCTGATCTACCTGGAGGCGTCGCCTAACTACTGCGAGCGCAGCCTCCAGTCGGGCACGCTTGGCACGGCGGGTCGTCTCTGCCATCGGAATGAACGCGGACCCCAGAGCTGTGACCTGTTGTGCTGCGGGCGTGGCCATAACACGCAGCACATCCGACGCAGCAAGCAGTGCCGCTGTCAGTTCCGATGGTGCTGCCAGGTGGAGTGCGAGCTGTGCGACGAGAGCTACGAGGAGTTCACCTGTAAATAGTGGCGGACCCGCCCCAATCCACAAGTTGACATATAACCCTCAATGTTGATAGGCTTAGAAATAGGATTATTGCATAACTAAAGCTAAAGTTAATTAAGTATTATCAGAAATGTATTACACTCAGACAAGACAAGAAAAGAACACATTCCAGTTTACAATAAAACCATTGAAGATCTACCTATAATCCCCGAGACTACGGGCAGATCGGTAGAGAATGGCCATTAATAAAACTGTTCAAAATGGATCGTTATATAGAGATCAACTATTTAACAATATTCTATCTGAAATCTCTGCTACATGGCATCTACACATATGTACAATGTACATTTTAGGATGTTAGGATTTCGATTCAATCCACAAAAATGATCTTTTACTAAAGGCTTGAAACGAAATTTAAAGGCAATTCTACACGATACATACTTTCAATACATATGCCTCCACAATATAGCACATAAATCGTTGCATACTTTTGGGTTGCAATGGATAATGGAGATTTTCCACACTGACACTGAAAGACATTCCTCGTCTCAATCGGCCGATATGTAACCAAAATATAACTTGAAATAAATCACCTTGCAAACGGGCGAACGACGAAGAAATTTCAGAACGCGGCACCAGGCTAACGACGAAATTCTGATCTGGGTTCACATCGGTTAGGTCCCAAGAATTGTAAATGTGATAGAATCCTCTGATCAAAACTGAAGGCCTTCGTGAAGCAATTATTCAACGTGGTGCACTGCCTGGCTATCGCGACTTGCTCATACTCTTAAACACATCCAACCACTACGAAGTTGCTGAGGAGTTCTTATTGTGGCAGTAAAGTACAATCCGATCCGTATTTGTAGGATGGGTTAAATCGTATGAGATCCAATGAAAACACACCTTTTTTTAAAGACGAGGTGATCATGAAACATCGTATTGACGGACGTCACAGCATCAGAGGGACATGACCCTTCGGTCTTGTTAACGCTATCGAATCATTTAAGCTTTCCTTTTCCTTCGAGAAATCCTGGGTTCACCTTGTCATGGGCTGGTGGAGAGGCACAAGCGCCGCCGTAATTGAAGTGCATTGAATTCGAACTCAAAATAAAAGATTCAAGGGGTAAGCATAGTATTATAGAATTTATTCATCAAATTCGTTGCTAGACTCATCGTTGCTGCCGTCTTCGTTACCCCTTATTGCATCGTCCGTAGACTGCATTTGCATCTGCATCGTGTCCAAAAGAGATTTCAAGAGACGTCTGTTCAGATGATCCGTTTGGGTCAATTCACGGGCGGCCTGGTGTGGGTGTGGATCGTCTGTTTCGGTTGCCATCGAGGTGGCAGCGGGTGCTGGGGTTGAAGCCATGGCCTCAATGTGTTCCAAACCGGGCATACTTTCGTAAAAGAACAACTTTTGCTTCTTACGGATGACTCACGCGGTTGTAATGGTTGTTGCACTTTTTGCTACAATTGTTTGCACTGGTTTAGGTTTTTGCACTTAATTAACTTGGTTTTGATTGCTCACCTCGTAATCCGACCTTAAGTTGAAAGTTTTTCCTTCGATTCAGCTCTCGGATTTTGTCGCAAAATATTTTTGTTTTTATTTACAATAAAAAAATTAAAAATATTGGCAAATGCAACCCTGTCGATATCCCACTAAAGCCCCCTCTATTTAAATAGTTGAACTACTTGAGGTAAATGGCGGAAAATATTACTGATTGTAAATTCTTCTTGAGGATTCATGCCATCTCTCCTATGAACTTAAAAAAAACCACGATATTTTTCAGCTGAACTGCGCTAAGATGATTCAATTTTCTATATTTTCAGTGGAAAATTGCAATACCCCCTTGGCTTGTAATGGGTTAATCGTTCTCCGTCAAGGATTGGAAACCATATTCCTCGATTTTGATATTCCGTTGAATAATACTATCTATATATCAATCAATTCTATACATGATTGGCTTATTCGAAATACTTGCTTTTATTGGATTTTGCGTGAAAAAAGGTTTAAACGAAAAAGTTCAACAAAAAAGAGTCGCAATGTTGCTGGTATTTGAAGACAAATTGCATGTCACCCGGAGTATGGGCATTTGTATACCCTATTTACATTAGTATCTTTAAAATTCTGTTACTAAAAGAATTAGCAAGGTGTGTTAGCATAGGGAGTATCTATTATTATTTATTATTTTATTTATATTTATCTATTTTATTGTGTACATCTGGCAGCACTGTGTTTGTGCTCAAACAAAATCTCCCGCTCGAATTTAATTTTGTAAGCAAACCGTAAACCGTAAATAAAATAACATTTAAAATGTTTGCGCCTGAAACGGAGGACATGCTGCCGCGCTCAGCGCCTAGACCCAGTGCATCGGCACCATTGGGTCTTGCCGCCGATCAAATTGTCAGGCCAACAGTGCCTGAAGTTTCAATATTGTTTGGACAACCTCCATCGCAACCGCAGCCGGAGCCGATCCCGCAGCAACCAGCGCCAGAGTCCGACAGTCGGCCCAGCTTTGCTTCATGGAAGAAGCAAATGCTGCCCCGAGTGAACTTTTCCCCGATTCTGGCAACAGAACTTGGCCCGCGGTCTGTGCCAGCCAGCGCCAATTTTCCGAGCAGCCCCTCCGCTTCATCCAATGATTATTATATTACTCCTCGAGAGCGGGTTTACGCGAATGAGGCACCATCGAGTAAATACCAGTCACCCAGACATTCTGGTTCTGGTTACGCAGAGCCCGTGAGGCACTACCATCAGTCGATGCGCCCACCCGTCCAGGTAGCAACGGATGTGCTGACGATTTGTGCTGGAACGCAAACAGAAGCTGTACATATACCGCCCTCTAAAACGTCTTTGCCGTCCGTTGTGTACTCCGACATCGACATAAGCAACTTGGTCAATAAGAACGACTTGGCAGCAGTAGTTGATCTTTTAGAGTCCATGCATCAGGAGCAGCAACAGCTGAGGAGCCTCTGCGAGGCGTTATTGAAGAACCAACAAGCAAAGGTAGGGTCCAGCGCAATGCCTTGTAGGACAGTTGCCTCCCAGTGTGATATTTTAGCGACCAACAACAGTAAGTAAACCAAACGAAAAGAAATTAAACCCTAAACTAAAAACCCGTCCAAATCACCTACAGCAAAGCGGGTAGCACCTGTTATTCATGATTACATAGTGGAAGAGGATGAGCCATCGCCTGCACCACGTTCGCGAGGCCTCGTACAATTCCAGTCGCCTCGGGACACACCACCAAGAGCCCAGTCGACTGAATACCGCGCCAACACACCGAAAACTACCCGAATGCCAAGTGCCGGTGTCGTGTCCAAGCCGAATACGGAGAAGAGCATGGTCATGAAGGAGCTCGCCCTAAAATACTTGCGACAGCCCGTGGACGATCTGATGCAAGAAATGAGCTTGTCCCCGTCGCCTGCGGATGTTACTTGCATTCAAAAATCCCCGCAAGCGGAACCGCTTCGGCAGATCGACAATATAAATGTAGTCCACTCGCAGAGTCCCAACGACATGTCGAATGCATCTTACAAGTATCTTAAAAAATATCGCCTATTACCGGAAGAGCAATTGGACTATGGAGCTCATGAACAAGAACGCAACCCACCGCCCTTCAAGGGTGGGCGTGCGGCTTCCGCTTCGCCGCAGATGCAGCTTGATCTGGATAATATTAGGAATCAGCCAAAGCTGCTATAGGCCGAAGATCAATGCAATTGTCATTTGTAACGCAATTCTCTTTTGTTATGCATGCACATGTCCATTCTTCGTCTTGTGCGGAAATATAATTCATTACACGTTTGACATATATGTACCAGACAGAATCCAGGAATACATTGACAGAAAACAGATACAGAAACGATAGTAGACATTTAAAGACACAATAAGTAGACGTTGAAGCGGCCCGACTGAGGCGGGTACTTTCGAACACGTAACGTATGTAGTATAAGGTTTAGCGCAAGACCAGCTGCATCTCGGATGCCGACTGCAACAGGACCTTCAATCCCTGCATGAAGCCTGCACACTGAGCAAAGTCCGTGCCGAATGCGATTCGTGTGTGTATTTCCAGAGCATTGGCGTAGTCGGATATTTGAATGTACTGTATTATTTGATTAAGATATTGTACGGTCGTGGGTGTGAGCTGATGTGAGAAACGTAAAGTTATTAACAAATGGGAATGATCTGATCCATGGCCGAGTCTTACCTTTCCATCGCGCAAGCAATCGTAGAGATTTTCCAACCGTTTGACGACATCCACAAACTTGCGTTTGGTGCGCTGTTATTGGGACGAATATTAATAGGGTAGGCCATAAAATAAGTGCAGATTCCATGTCTACTTACCGGATCATTGGTTGCGCTCAAGCAACGGTTCTTCAGCTCCTCCAGTACCGTCTGCAAGTAGATGTATTCCTCTGGAAGTGGTGGCTTCTCCTTTGGCACTTCCGGCTGGCGCTGTTGCTGAATCGGTGCTGGCTGTTCGGTGTACCCAATGGTCTGCTGCTGCTGCTGCTGTTGCCCCTGCCAGTTTTGCTGCTGAGGTGGTCCCTGATTGGGAATCGCCTGTTGCTGGGGCTGGAGGTACGACTGCTGTTGCTGTTGTGGATTGTTGTTGAATGCAGCTGGATTATAGTAGGCATTGGTTGCCCCGCCAGCGGGTGGTGCATTCTAAAAATGTGTTTTAAAATTACAATAAAGCTTCATTTGGTTACTTTGCTGCATTATACCTGATATTGAGCAGGATCCATATAACCGTTCGGGTTTTGATTGGGGTCAACAGGGAAAATCGGATGAAATATGGGCGCAGCACTATTATCTGCGACTGGCTTTGGCTTTGGCTGGAAAAATGAAAAATAACGTTATTAAGACATTTCCTTCCGAGTGGCTGACTATGATTATGGCTTTTACCGCACGTGATGACTTCAATGCGGGTGGATCGTTCCAGCCCGGTGGCGGTGTGGGATTGCGTTGTACATTCTGAATAATAGGTGGCTGAGCAGCTTGTGGCATGGTCTCAATGGGATTAACCCCCGGTAAGTAAGAGTTTTGCGGTGCTCCGGAGAAGGGTGTTGGATTGTACCCTTGGGCTGACGACAGAGGATTGGTATTGAATGCATTACTGTTGTATGTGGGCACGCTGGCCGCTTGTGGAAGAGCTCCAGGTCCTGCTCCTCCCGTGAACGGCGTCGCGGATGGGGCTGGGGCAGGAACTGGATTGTATGGCATGCCATAGGCACTGGTGGGAGCTGCTACAGATGGATCCAATAGATATTTTGAGCGAGCATGTAGCCCTAATCCACCAGACGGGCCACTTGATGATGGTGGAGGCCCTCCTGTGGAGCTGGCGTTGCTGAGAGGCCGGGGTGGGTGATTCAGAGGTTCTTGCTTAACTGGCTGCGGATTAAATATCTGTGGAGCCGGCTGGGACACTGGATACGTTGCTGGTGCGGGTGGCGCAGGCGTAGGCCAGCCAGTGTTGGCGGGGTTTCCATACTGATTGGCTGGTTGGCCATAGGACATTGGAGCCACAGGATGCTGCTGTGAGAACGAGCCTCTACCCCGTTGCTGTGGGCCAGTCCCTGGGTAGCCAAATGGAGCTGGAGCTGCAGCTGCTGTCGGCTGGGTATGTTCCAAATTCACGGCGTTGTTGATTCGATCTCGCAAACCATGCAAAATTTCATTTTCACACGCTGCTCCACCACCTAACGTGGTTATGTATTGGAGAGCTGCCGTGAGGGCTCCTTGGGAGGCTAAGAGGCCGCCATATTCAGTGAGAAAGCCAGCAAATCGACCAGCCAAGTCTACGGAGATTCCCTGCTGCTCGAGGGACTTGCACATAAGCATCACAACCTCGGCCAGGTCCTGCAGCTCGGTGGTGTTCAGCTTGTAGCTCTGGCTCTGCTGCTCCAGCTGCTTCAGCTGATACCAAGCGCTCACTAACTTGTCAATGCTCCCCGCACAGATGTAGCACAGCATGGCGTTGCGCGTAAACTCTACGCTGTTGGCGCACTCGGTCAACAAGCGATCCCCCAGGCGCTCACAGATATCGACCACTTTGCGCTCGCTGTGCTTGAGGGCAGCCACCAGGGCTTCCTTCCAGGAATCCACAGTGCAGCGGTTGACGAAGTCAAGCCAATCCCGGGTAACCAAGGCCGAGATCACGTGCGACAGCTCGCTCTTCTGCTGCACTAGGTAACGGGTTTGGGTTCGAGTAAGGGTCTCAATGCCGGCTGTCGAGGCTATGATGAGGGCCTCTGGTATGCGCTGGGCTTCAAGACACAGCTCCACGGCAGCCTCTACGTTGCCGGTGAGTATTGCCTCGGCAATTAAACTATCAGAGTCTGCAAATATCAAATCAGTTAGCAGGCATCTAGTCACTGGCTAAATTAGTTGGTTCTACTTACGTTCTCCGCTGGGAACTTTAAACTGTGGCCTCGAAAGCGTGGCATAGTCGTGATTTTGAGAATCGGTTCCATTTCCATCAAATTTGTTGTCCAATGTTGCCTATACACACAAACAATAAGAAAATTTAGATGAGGCTTCTACGATTTCATCGAAGATGTTCACTATTTAGCTGCATTTTCTCTTTCTGTTTCAGATTCTGTCTAATCTTTTCTATTCTTTGCTAATCTTAAATCTCTAGTCTTACCGAATTATCGGTGCTATAATTTGTACTCTGATCGCACTCAACTTCAGAAGAGTCGCTCTACAGCCACAGCAACAGAAACAGCATAGCCCCACGATGTTTGGCAATGCATGGAGTATGTTATCGAATAGAAATAAGTACACAAAGCAAGATGAGCATATGTATGTATGTACGTGGAGATGGTGGGTCGGAATTGATAGTGCGTGGCTCAATGTTGCTTTTGGAAATGGCGTTGAACTGATAAGGGCTTCTTGTCGCGTCACAGCGGGGCGGAAACTTACATGGGTGAGTGTGGAAATGCGGGTCGTGAGTGTATCCACATCTGATTGCGAGTTCGTCTCAGTTTCCTTGATAAACTTGCTGAACTTGATATCAATATCATCTTTGTTATAGCCTAAAGAGGGAGAAATTCAAAATTAACAGGAACTATTTGTGTCATCGATAGGCTACGTGGCCTAACATACCCAAGAGATTGAGCATTTCCTCCTTTGGGTTCAGCTCAAAGTTGGCCTTGATGAAGTACCAAAGGTAGCGACCGTGCTGATCCGGTGTGTCATCTGCTCTCTGTCGGCAATAATCTGCATAGTTGGCATCGGCCAGCGAACGCTCCAGGGCATTGGCACGTTCCACGAGAGCTGCTTCTGTGGTTAACTGAGATACCTTCACTCTTTTGGAGGTACCATCAAAGCTGATCAGCTTCCCACCAAACTGTTGAAAGGAAAAGACCACTCATTTGTATAGAAAATTTCTACACTGTTTGTTGAAGCGAAACTTACCCCAAAGGCAACGCCACAGGGGCGCTTCATCCACTTGGGTGCGTGCGTCAGGTCATGGTAAACCACCTGCGTGGCCTGCTGAGGAATCGGCTCTTGGGCGAACTGATCCATTCCCGGGAAGGAGTCTGCAATCTTGTTTGCCGTCTGCACCAGATGGTGGGTGCCTCCGTGGAGGGAGTATATAGACACAGCCCCTTCCAAGCTGGCACTGGCAATTAGTGCCGGGTTGCGTGGACAGAACTGCACATCGGAGTACCAGGATGAAGTGGTGGCCACTTCCGAGAGAATTTCACCTTCGGGTATTTTAGTATTGGGATTCCAGCAGTAAATGCGATTGTCCTTGCCGCAGGACACCATCAGGTCGTTGTCCTGAAGGCACCACGACATGCCCAGTACTCCGCGCTCATGGATTTGATATGTTTTCGCCGGAGCGGTGGCATACCTCAGGTCCCACAGCTGCACAACCGGCGCCTGGTCATCTTCCGAGGCCAGCCACACCTGCGTCGCTGCCTCTGGATGCCACTCGATGGCGTGCCACCGCACACGGGATTGCGAATCAGAGAGCTTAATAATCTGCTGGCTCTTGCGCAGATCCCAGATAACGCAGCGGGTGCTGAAAACAGAGGCCAGAATGTGCTGCACTTGTCGATTCCAGGCCACATTTTTGACGTCCTCCAGCGGCTGGGTCTTGGCGCCCGGGTTCATGTGCGTGGCTGGGTTGTTGAGGTCCCAAATAAAAATCTCCGATTCGGAAGCACACGAGGCGAGAAGATTGTTTTGGAATGGATTGAAGTCCAGTCCGCTGACAGCCCCAGTGTGCTTATCCTGCCGAGCCAGCAGGGGCTCCTCGTTGCCATTGGCGAGTAGCTTGGCAGCCGAATATATATTGATTTGGCCCGCCTCACATCCGCCCACGATGAGGCCGCTTGGGTGAGGACCTATGGGGCTCCATATAAGTTTCTGGAACCTGCAAACGAAAAGGGATTAAATTGAATCCGATCCCATGCATGAATATATCCAAAACTCACTTGTACTGACTGGCCACGCTGGCCTTAAGCTCCAGGTCGTAGGTTGCATCACTGAAGTTTGGCGAGTATATTTCCAAGGTGGAGCTTGCATTTGAATCAAACTGCTGGGCAGCCGTGCCGGCAGCCAAGAATATTTGCTGCTGCTGTGCCGGTGACCAAGCAATGTTAACCGTCTTCTGCAGTTCCTTGATTTTCATGTTGCAAATGTTTTTAGTGCTGTAACAGAAATAACAATAAATATTTCGCTAGATTTTTGTCTTTTCTTGGACTGCTGCAAATGTAATTGTGTCACGTCCAATTGGAGTGCGCCCCGTCATCACTTTTTTTTTAGGCATCTCCGCTGCCGATGCGGTTGCAACTCGACTGGACTCTGGACAGCATCAAATTTTGTAAAAGCCGAAACTCACTTAGACTTGTAGATACAATCAACATTCGCTAACACTTTAACCAATTTAAATTTTTTTTAGTTTTTAATTGGAACTGTGGATACGTTTAAGACAGTGTGACCGCGGATTTATCAATAAAATATACCGTCCGACCCTCAGAATTATACCGAAAAACCGTCTCATTTGAAAAATATACCGTAAATATACTAACGAATTAAAGTTATATTTTACATATTCCTCGTTTTCTTTCTTCCGTTGAATATTACTAGCTATATAGAATATTCAGCCATGCCCACATAATTTTATCCGATTAATTAAACTATTCTGAACTTGACTGGCTTATTTTAAATACTTGTTTTTATTGCATTTTGCGTAAAAAGAGGTTTTAGCGAAATAAGTCAAACAAAAAACAAGTAGCGAAGTAGGTCAATCAAAACAATCGAAAAGGGAAATTCGTTCATATTGCTCAATTTTGATATTCCATTGAATAATGCTGACTAACTAAATCTCTCAGCAATGCCCACACAGTTTTATTCCATTGATGAATCAATTTTCTACAAGATTGGTTAGTTTTTAATCCTTGCTTTTATTGTATTTATTGTAAAAAAAGGTTTAAACGAAAAAGTTCAACAAGAGTCGCTATATTGCGTGTAAGCCGTATATAGGCCTTTGTATACCCTATTTTGTTAATTTTATATGATAGTATATATATTGATATATATATATTCCTCGTTTTTGATATTCCGTCGAATATAGATAGATAAATTGATTACAAGATTAATTAGTTTTAAGTACTCCCATTTATTTTATTTCAACAAAAGAACAGTCGAAATGTTGTCAAGTCAATGTTGCTGGTATTTGAAGACTTGTTGCTTATCAACTGAGTATGGCCATTTTTATACCCTATTTTTCCATACTGTTTTAAAAAGTAATTAATAAATACATCTTCCCATAGAATATGTTTTAGATTTATTCATGTGTTTGATTAGTTTCTTGTATATATATCCTGGTCGCGATATCAATTCTTTGTCTCTGTAAGAAGACCACTACTTTCAATGCGTTTTCAAATCCACATCGACTGGGACCCTAATCTGATGCATTTTGATTACTTTTTAAAAAAGACTTGAATGTTTATTGTTGATTAATAAATATAAGGTATATTATAATGGAAATACATATTTCGTGTGCTGTGCATTCGCTTATTTAGCTGTCGAAATCGCCGTAACGCGCTGCTCAACTTTAGCCACTTTGTTGGTGATGGTCTCCAGATTTTGAGCAAACGTCTCCTGTACGGAGTGCAGCAGTTCCTTGTTATTGACCAGACTGGTTGTTATAGTACCCTGCTTCTGCTCAATTTCGGCTATAATCTTAGCAAAGTTGTTCGCTGAAATGCATTGATGGCAATTAATGAAATGTTAATTATGAAACTAATGTCTACTTTACCATATTTATGTAGGGACTCTAGGGCTTGCATACGCTCAATGACATGCGGCAGTATTTCAACCACAGGCTCCGTACGCTTAGCAATATCATAGAGCTCCGAAATTTTCTGGTCGCGTTTGGCGTCCTGAGAGCTTCCGCTGGATTTCTCGGCAATAGAGTCCATTTTTCCGGCCAGAGTCGTTAGGCGCTGCTCAATGGTGTCCAGCTTTTCTGGCTGCAGCAGTGCAGCCTTGGTGCTGAGTTGTCGGACGGCTTCCAGGACATTGGTCGTGTTGGTGGCAGCGTTCAGACGGCTTAGCTTTTCTGGTTGCGCTCCCACAGTCTTCTCCAATTGGTATAGCCGTTGTTCGAGACTAGCCACACGAGCTGTGGATGCCAAATCGGTGCCTGGCGTTGGTATGGCCGTAAGCACGCCGGACTGCTTGAATTCCTCCACTTGACTGATGAGTGCTTTCACTTGCTTGCTATTGGGCACCTGCTCTTTGCCAAGAACCTGTTCCAGCTTCAAAGTGTCCAATACTTTCTTTGCTGTGCTTATAACAGTGGCCACAGCATCGTAAGATTGCTTCTCCTCGTCAGCAATTTTGCGATCCACTTGCAGAGCGGCCACCTCATTCAAAAGTTCGTTCATTTCAATCTGCAGCCGCTGACACTTCTGCACAGGAGTCTCCTTTTCACCCTGCCCCACAAGCTCATATTCGCCAGCGCCTCGCATATCGTAACCTCGGCCAGCGCGGCGGCCAATGCGGTCCGTGAAGTCCACGCTTCCCTCGAGTGTTGCTCCGCTAAAGCGTTTATGGGCAGCGCTTGCCGAAATGTGCATTCGCTCTATGGCCTCATTCTCGGGCTCTTCTTCATAATAATCAGAGGTGTCCGTCTCAGGATCGTCGGGCGTTTCGTAGACATCAGGTTGATCATAGGCCTGTGAAAGGGACAAATGTGCAGGTGACGATTTGGAGGCCAGCGCTTTTGCTAAACTTACGATTCCTGGAAGGTTTTGAAACTTTGGATCGGCCATAGCTGTGGGTACGGGGACAACAATCTCCTGGTTTCCTGGCGCAAGGAAATTTAATGTTTTTCAGCGAAAAATAGTTTTTGCAAAAATCTGATGTCATAAACAGTGTGGCAGTGTTCCCAAATTGTAGCTGCATTCTGGAAAATACTAAAATACTAATCAGAACTCTAAAAATACTACTATCTTGCAAGGTGTATGTCCTAGAGAGGGACAGCCCTTAAAGACCCATTAAAATTAGACAGCACTAGTTTCAGGGGGGGTGGCAGTTGTTGTGTGGGTGGTGAATTGCTGCAGGCTGGTCAAATTTCAGTTATAGATTCTTGCTAGTATCTGCATAAATATAATGTCGTCTTTGGAATATTCTTCCGCTAGATATGACGAGCTACCGTTAGAGGTAAGTCAACTGCTACTGGTGGTCCCGTGACTGTCGTTCCAATTAGATTCGTATCTCCTCCTTTTATGGTTGTTATGGGCGACAAAACAGTCACCTGATTGGTTACATTTCCCTTTCTTTCCGCAGATTGTTTTGAAAATATTTAGCTATCTGGAATACTCGGATCTGCTGGTAGCTGGATCGACCTGCAGCAGATGGCATTCTGCTTTAGATCAACCTGAGTTTAAAGCGCGCACCCGGGTCTGTTTTTCGAAAGTATTGCTCTCGGATCAGCAGAGTCCAGCCGTCGATTTGCTGAGATGCGAAAGACGCTTCAACCACTTTATGCTCGAAGATGTGACGCTAGGCCAGGTGAGGGAGCTTCTGAAGTTCATAGGTCAAACGGCCCAGTCTCTGGCTCTGGATAATGTCGATCTTAACGACAAGCAGTTCTACGGCATGTTGGGGGTGCTGCCGCACCTCCATTCGCTTTCCCTGAAGCGTTGCCTCCCGTTGTTTATGTCTGGCTCCTTCCTCGAAAGCTATACCAATTCCTGCTCAAATCTCAACGAATTGGCCAATAACTTGGCAGGCTTGCGGGAGCTGGCGCTATGCGATAACCAATATCTCACTGACGCCATTCTTATGCGACTTACGTCGTTCATGCCTCGCCTGAAGGTGATCAATATGTCTGGCTGTCAAATAGCCTTCCACAACGCGCTGCAGCGACGCTTCTACCCCAATGCGAACGCTTCGGACAGTCTGCTGCCCAGCGAATCGGTGCTTACATTCAACTTTATTCTCACCATTCTCAACCTACAGCGCAGAACGCTGCGCGAGTTGGACTTTAGCCACACCCTGATCGGGCAATCTCTGCTGTCTCTGTGCGATCTAGATCTCCAGCTGCAACGCCTCTATCTGGGCGGCTGCAGACAGCTAAATGCCATGACTGTGAAAACCTTCCTCGCCACTCAACCGCTTTTGACAGCTTTGGACTTGTCGGCGACTACGTGCGTGACAGATGATAACTTGGCCTGCATTGCGCAGACTAATTCCCAGCTAGAGCATTTGAGGATTAACGGATGCACGGGCGTCACCAACGCTGGAGCGATCCATCTCCACAAGCTGCGGCGCCTGAAAAGCCTGGACCTCTCCAGCTGTGATGGCATAACCAGCGATGGCATCACCGGGGGGGTGGCAAGCGAAGAGAACCACGTGCTGCTGGAGCTAAATGTGTCGCACTTGCAAATCTGCGAGGAGTGCATCAAGTCCATTGCAAGCAATTTGCGCTCCCTGCGATCGCTTCATCTGAACAACTGTGTCAATGGGGTCACGGATGAAGCTATACAGTTCGTGATTGGTCAGCTGCGTTGGCTGCGCGACCTGTCCCTCGAGCACTGCTCTGCCGTAAGTCCAGTTCTATATTCCCAATCTCATGCTGAAATCTGAATCTTTATCTTTTGAACCTATGTAGTTGACAGATGCAGCTCTCACCGGCTTGAACATATCTAAGCTGGAGCTGAGTCGAAAGCAATCGGGCTCTCAAGCGTCTACGATGGAGAACTTCTACCCGCCGTATAGCCACAGCCTGGGGGAGCGGGACAGCTCGCTGCAGTCCATTAAGATATCGCTGAGGAGCAAAGCCGAGGACGAGATCGTGCGCGACGCCAGACGCAAGCAGGTCATGCTGGCTGCCTACGAAATGAACCTGATACATAAGGAGGACTTCGAGGGGCATAACATTCAGCAGCTGCGAGGTCTGCGCTCCCTGAATTTGCGTGGATGCAACAGGATCAGCGATGTCTCCCTGAAGTACGGCCTGAAGCATGTCGAGCTTCGGCGACTACTGCTCTCGAATTGTCAGCAAATATCCTTGCTGGGCATGGAGGCTCTGGTCAATAGCTGCCCCTCCATTGAAGAGCTGGATCTGTCCGATTGCTACAACATCACAGATAGGACTATGCAGGTGGTCACAGGCAAATTGCCTCGCCTGCGCGCGCTACATATCAGTGGCTGCAGCCAGCTGACGGAGCACACCCTCGACGCCATCATCGTTAACTGCACTGGTTTGCAGACTTTGTCCGTCTACCGTTGCCGCAGCATGTACGCGGACATCGAGGAGCGTTTGTCCGGCGTACACACGCTGCGTAACCTCAATATGGACAACATGACGAGCATCGACAATGCCGATTTCTTCCGCTTAAAGAAACGTCTCGATTACTGATATTTTGCCGCCGTTTTGATTGTTCTGGTATTGTATTATTTTCAGTTGTACAATTTTCGCTAGTCACAGGTCCCCGGCCCCCAGTCCCGGTCCCAGTTCCATACGGCACGGGAAACCTATTTTTATCACATGACCTACGGAAGCTGTCTTTAGATACGAAATCTTTAGCAAAATATACATCATATATATAGTATATGTCTACATATACATAAGTATGCTCACAAAACATAATAGGAAAATGAATATGATAAATTTTAATTGTAAATCAGTTAATTTTTATAAGCCAACATCTGTCCACATGTATATTGTAGGAATATATGTGTGTATGTAGCTGTGATTTTTTTTATCAAATACAATTCGTATTATATATTATACGAATACGAATATATTTAATATGTATGTAATTGTTGTAATTTAATACCAGTCCATATTTTGTGGGAACTCTAAATGCAATTGTTTTTTTTTGTTTGTTTGTTATTTTTAAGTGTTGGAAATAAAATAAATAACTTGACTTACCAAACCTGGGTTCTGCATATTGTTAATGCGAATAAAAACATTTCTGCCAAGAAGGGTATTGTATTCGTTAAAAATGAATAGATTTATTTTAAAATGAGTTAAGAACATGTTGTTTTATACGTGCTAGAATCGTCATCATTATCTTTTGGAAAAAAGGTCGTCTCCCACCTACATACGTAGACATAGATAGTTGTACATTTATGTATTACTCGTATGTTCAAATAATTGTGTGGGGGTACATTGCATATGCGCATATGTGTATGCAAGTCTTAAATTACATCTATAAAGTTGACTAGGTAACAAATTCCAGATGATATCAAAGTACCAAACGAATCAGTAGAGTAGTAAGTAGTAGATACAAATTAGATGCCGAGTCCTTGGACCGACTTGGGCCCAGAAAGTTAGATAGTTGGTAGGAATGCTGGCGACAGCGGCTAACCGCCACCGCCGCCGCCAGATAATTCGTCCTCGTATTGCTTGCGGAAACAGTCACCCACCGGAAAGAAGTCCCAGCTGCGCTGCTGGTACATATTCCACACGTACGTCTCCTGGCCGGTGTACTCGGTATCCGGTTTGTTGATCAAATGCATCAGGAAGAACATGTAGTTGGCCAGGTTGTGTTCCTTCTGGACGTGGGTGTCGAAGCCATGCGGCACTATGTCGAAGAAGTCCTTTCCCATGCCACATATAAAGCAGTTGGACTCCATGTTGTCCTTGACCGACTCCAGCTGGTCACGGAGCTCGCCGAAGGCGTCAATGATCAGACCCTGGATGATGGCCAGCAGGATAATGATGACGAAGAAGAAGAAGGTGATGTCAAAGATGATGCGATACACCTCGTACTCGTCCCCGACAGGATCGCCAATCTCGTCTCCAATACCTCCGCCCGCTCGCACTCCCTTGTACAAATGGAAGACGAAGCAGGTCAGCATGTCGTGGCACTTCTTGTCCACCATCTCGTCCTCCTCCTGGATGTAGAATTTGCGGAAGAAGTTAAACGCTATTACCGTATAGATGTAGACGATAATGGTCAGCAGCATCACGGTCAGGACCAGCTGCTTGCCGTTGTGCGTGACCGACTGGAGGATCGTGCGCAGTGTCTTGAAGCCGACGGCCACATCCAGAAGATGGGCAGCGAAGAAGAAGTTGTTGAAGTTGCCCATAACCGAGAAGCTAAAGTACCACAGCGAGTAGAGGAAGGCGTTGTCCGTGAATGTGACGCCCGCCTTCCACACCTGGTAGCGCCAGTCAATGTTCATGATGTACTTAAAGATGCCCGTCTCCTCGCTCTCCTGCGCCGTGAATGCGCTCTTCTCCATGCCCAGCAGATTCGAGATGGAGTCGAATTCGTACGTCTCGCTGTACTTTTGTCGCACCTTCTTCTTGACGAACTTGTCCCAATAGTTGACCGGGAAGCTCTTGGCCGATATGACCAGCTTGTCCCAGTGCGACTTGAAGTCATCGTCCTCCGGCTGCTCGGCAATGAAGAGGCCATCGAACTCCAGTCGTCGGGCGATCTCCTTCTCACGCTTGAAAATAGCCAGCGGCACCTTCAGGTGGTAATAGGCGATCAGCATGGCCAGCGACACGAGCGAGTGGAGACACGCGGCAATGCGCAGTACGTGCGCCATATAGAAGAAGTCCTCGTTCACGTGCACAAGCTCTGGTATCTCATCCTCCATTTCCCCGTCCCCGGATCCGCCGTCGCCAGAGCCTCCAAATCCAGATCCATTCATGTCCACACCTGCCCCCGAACCGGAGCCCAGAATCAGCTCCTCCTCGGCAGAGCCCTCGGATTCACTCTCGAATGAGGTGACCTTGTAGAAGAGCAGCATAAAGTTAATGCTGAAGGCAAGCACCAAGGCGACATATTTCAGATTGTAGAAGTTCCTCGCCAGGAAGCTGACGGCCCTGTGCGTGTACTGCGAAAAGTCGATCTGGTGCACCGCGGGTGTTTCCTGTGGGGCTGCCGAAGACTTCTTGGCCTCGGCCTCAATGGATGCCATCGCCGCCTCTTGGGCCTTTTGCGCCTCCTGTCGCTCCTGAGCCGCCTTCTTGGCCGCATCTCCGCCCAGCAGATCGACAATGCTGATTGGCTCCTGGTAGGGCTCGCCCTCGGCCAGTTCCCCGGCAATGGCTGCACCATCCTCGGGGCTAGATTCGCCACCTTCCTCCACCGAGGAGTTGCCAGGGGATTCATGAACCACCACCTTGTACACGCCGTTGTCCTCTTTGTTTATGTCCAAGCCAAATGCCTGAACGGTCCCAGGCGGCTCTTCCAACGGTAGCGGCGGCAGTGCTCTGCCAAACGTCTCCTCCTCGACCACCGGCAGCTGATCCTCCTGCTCAGGGGCGGGTCCGCGCATCAGGTTCAGGAGTATGCCAAAAATGTAGCGCACCACGCAGAAGTGGGCATAGCCAGTGTAGTAGAACATGTAGAAGATCATCTTGAAGAAGCCGACAATCAGCTCTGGGATGGACTTGGTCTGCATGACGCCAATCTGGTGCTTGATGTTCGCCGGACTCAACATGTGGATGCCGAACTTGAGACCCTCCTTGACGGCGGTGATGGTGCGTCTAATGGGGTCCCTAGCGGCGCGCTCTTCCTCCTCCTCGCTCATGTACGAACTGTAGGCGGTGTCGCGCCTCACGTTGCCGCCGCCGTCGTCGGTGGCCATCAGGCCAGAGGCATGGGTCATCTCAAAGATGGCATCCTCGCAGAAGTTGACAAAGGCCTCGAGCTTCTCTTTGTCCCCGCCCTCGGTGACGATGGAATAGAAGAAGGCACGCTTCGATTCGCGGATCTGCGGCTTCTCCCACTGCTCGATGTTCGAGTCCTTGATCTCGAAGTAGACCCGCTCGATGCGCTTCGAGCTGCCCAAGATCTCGATGCGACCCAGGAACGGCTCGAAGTAGTTCAGCACCGAGCCGGCCGTCTCCAGGAAGCGCGCCAGGCGCGGCTCATTCGGCATATGCTCGCTTAGGTTGGTCAGCAGAACGGCCAGGTTGAAACCGATCTCCTTTGATGGTTCGTGGAAGCGTTCCACGAAGGCTCTGTAGTCGATCTTTCCCTCGTGATTGCGTTCGCAACAAGCCAAAAGGAAATCCATTTCTTCCCTGCAAAATTTCAATTGGGAAAGACATTAATTCGATAGTTAGTCAAGGATTCCCTCTCCTTACAGTGAGTAGTTCTTGGATTGCTCCATTTTCTCCCTAAAGTCCTTGGGCGTGACCCAGCCTTCGTTCTTTATGTCGATCTCATGGAAACTGGGCGATTCAATGAGGTCGGCCAGTTTAAGGAACATATCAAAGTACTTGAGGATCAGCTCCACATTCGATGCGGACTCCACCAGAGTGTCCACCATCTGTTTGCCAATAGTACCTGAAAGTGAAAGAAATATTATTTAAGAGTGGATCGACTTTGACTTGAGTCCCCTTTTGATGCGACAGTACCATTGACGACATTTCCTTCCAGCATAGACAGCATCATGGTGATCATATCCTTTTGCAAATTGAGCAGCTCCTTCAGCAGATCCACCTGACTGGAGTGCTTCGATAGCTTGTCCTGCATGTGGGAAAAGAGAAAGAGGAAGCCTCCGACTGCATCCCACAGACGAGAGTGGGCCAGAGCCTGCTGATTGAGGGTGCAGGGACCCTGGATGACCTCGGTGAGCGTGTTAAACACCTGGCTGGCCACACCGATGGCCTTGAAGAAGTTTGCCTTGCCGGCGGGATCGATGATCTCCTTGCTGGAGTAGTGCCAGTAGAAGTCCATGATGGACTCCTGCAGCCGCAGCAGATAGTCCACAGTGCAGATGACCACGTTGACGGTTGTCGTGTTGCCGGCCTGTGTCCTCAGATAGTTCTGCCATTCTGCAAGGAGATAAAGGTTCGGGGTATGGCCTGGGGGTAAATGGTTGTGGACTCACCCAAATTGTGGCCCTCGCAGGTGAGCTGGATGAACCGGAAGAGTGCGCACGTGAACTCGGCATCGTGCATGTTCTTCTCGCCGGCCGCCCCCTCGGAACCTACACCAAGACCTGCACCCGCACTCGGAATATACTCTTTGTTTTTTTGTGTTTTGTACAACGATACACGATTCGGGGATATATCGGGATGGTTTGGTTTTGATTTTGGTTGTGGTTGTGGTTGGCATGCGAAACATGGTGGTGGGTGGGGGAATAGTTGGTTGAAAGGAAGTAGAGTAGACACAAATCAATATCGAAAACTAAGAAGAATATGTGGTGGCACCAGCGAGAGCGGCGATCCCAGCAGTAAAACAAAAGTCACAGAATGAGCAGGCGAAAGAGGAGGAAGGATGGCAGGAGGCAGGCCAGATGCTGGGGAACTTACCCTCTGCTTTGGTGTTGCGCTCAAAGGCGTCCAGATCGAGGACACTGCACGAGTTCATCAGGCCAGCAATCGACGTGAAAAAGCCCACATCCTTTTTCTCCTTCAGATGATTGAGCATGCCCATTTGGATGTCGATGTTGCCGCCGCGCAATATGGCGATGCCGAGATTGAGTGTCGTCATTACCATCTCCGAAGGTATACCTTTGGAGGCGGAAATGTGCAACAGCACCATTTCGGCAACGCCACGATTCGAGAGGCGGGCCTGATGGAAGAGCAGCTTCTGCTTTTCCATCTCTTGTTCCTATCGAATGATGGTTATCGAAGCAAAGAGATTAGCCCAAACAACAAAAGTTGTGGTGTTAGTAAGATCTCCCCATTCCCATTCCCTTACCATTAATTCTCGCATTCGCCACTTGGTTAGACATGTCCCAAGGGGTTAGTTTTATTGTTAGTGAAGAGGA